TTGGTGATTCTATGAACTTAGTGGTTTATCCTAACTTCTTATGGGTAGCATCCACACATTGTAAAAACAGAAGCCTGAAAATAAAAGGCAACAAGGAGAATAATGCAGAATAGTGCTCCATAAATGTTCTTCAGGCAGTGAAAACTACAGAACAGGACTGCTCTACAGTAGGCGATCTTCAAAGTCTAGTCTATTAGTAAAGCAGCAACTAACTCAAAAAAAAAAAACAAACAAAAAAAAACCTTGTAGTTTTATTTCTAAGACATTTTACTTCATCAAGTTTTCCATAAGTGTGGGGTGCACTTCCATCACATGCCTATGCATGTAAACTCCTCAGTTCAGCAGCTCAAGATCCAAGGCTCAGCTTGGTACAGCATAGCTGTGCATTTTCAACTTAGTTTTATTGAAAGCTAAGCTTCCAAGCTTTACCTTCTTTTCATTTTTACTACATAATTCTGTTAAATTTGCTTGCAAGAAAAGTAATTCACTCACCTCTTGCTTGGACAGCTTCCAGTCATCATTAAGATCCATCTCTTGAAAAGACTCATGAGACCTGGGTCCATTCCTAATTTCTAGAAGGTCAATATTGAAGATCAGCGTGCTCTCAGGTGGAATTTTTCCTGCACAGAACAGCAAACATAGAAAGAAGTTAAAAAGATACACATTTAGTGCACCATAAAAGCCACATGCTTCAGAGTAATCCCACTATTTCAAAGCAACCTCCATTTTGAGCCAAAATGAATAAGCATCTGTAACAGTGCTAAGTACAACTATTTTAAATTGTAGCTCAGACCCTGAGCAGCCCTTGCAGCACATGTGCAAGTTTAGATGCAACCAGCTTTGTTGGAGGCTAGCATGTATTCTTGAGTTGCTATTCAGCGTAACTGTCATCACAGACTTATGAGACAAGATTCTTGAACCACTTTTTCCATACGTAGAGCCAGACTGAGTCTGTGCAGAAAGCAGTGAAACAGACCATAAAGTCAGGTGGCCACTGTTTCAGTACACAGCTCAGACCAGCAGACAGCAAGGCAAGAAGTGCATCAGATGGACTGAATGCTACCTCTGCATGTGGGATCCTGGCACTTCTTGACAAGAAAAGCAGAAGGGTAGCTGTCAGTATCCTATGGCTGCCTCTGAAATGTGGCACAAAAAGCACTGAACTACTTCCAAACACACAACAGAAACTGGGCATGTAAGCCTGCATAAGGTTATTAACATCATTTCATTTTGATGCAAGTCAACACATTAATAATTTTCTGATAGTGCCAGAGAACATTTCATTATTACTATCCCTGGAGTTTATCAGTCTCTGGCTTTTTCAATAGCATGATACATCCTTACCCTAATTGCTGATGGTACTGTCAAAGACTATTTAGCACTGAACTTTGCTCCTCTGACCTATTTGGTCCTATTTAACCTATTTCTATATTGGATAGAAGCATTCCAAAAATACTTGCATGCCTTGAAATGATAAGGAGAAAATTAATCCTCACTTAACTGTTTGGGAGCTGTGATGTTTGTTGCTACAGTTCAGAATATATTTAACAAGCTTATAGATCTCCAGGATGATTACATGTACAGAATTTTCTGGAAATATAGGGCACAGTAGCCTGCATGGGGTTTGGAACATAGGTAATTTTTTTTTCCTGAGGGTTGCAGAATAAGGCATGTGACTCATCATTCAGGGCAGAGAAATAAAGGCACCAGGTGGGAAGCTAGTGAACGCCTGTGTGTTCAGTGGAAAGTATGAAGAAAACAGAATTCTGTCTTCAACAGCACAGCAACATAAGGTTCAAATGTTCAAATAATTCAGTGCTTTCCCAAAGCAAGGCAGCTAGCAGTGTTTACTAGTTCAGCCTTCTTGCATTAAATACATAAGCGAGGCTTGCAAGCCTTTAATATGCAAAGCACTACAGTTAGCCCCCAGTCAAGGCAATTAGGCCTGTAATTACCGGGTGAGCTCTACAGCATTTAGTTTTTTTTTTTTTTTTTTTCTTAGAAAAAAATTTACAGCTGTGCCCTGCATAAAGCAGAAAAAGTAACATTCCTGCATCATTTAAACTGTCACTCATTTAACCACACATTCCAGTCCTGACCTTCTCATTAAAAGAAGGGTCTGTCTGAAAATGTTTGAAAAGGGAGAAAAGTACTGCCCGCAGCACACAGGTTGAGAGAAAACATTACAAGCCACGCTTTTATCTGCTTGCACATCATTCAGTACATTTCTGGTAGATATCAGCTTGCCTGCTAGTGTTCCCACATATCTTATTTTGGGTAACAGGCGCAGCTGCCCAAACCTGTAAGAGGGAAAGAACAAAGTGCCCCTATATGGAGAAATAAATAGTGAGTTTTCACTGTAACATTCAAGAACATAAGAGGATGAGCAGAACTGGAGGTTCCTCAGCTTCCCAGAAGAAACCCACAAAAAAGAATGAGGCTTGCACATGCACGTTCATGGAATTATTATCACAAACACAGATGCAACAGCCAAAGTGTTAACTACAGTAACCACTTCAAGCTTGACTGAAAATAAATAATAAAGCAGAGCACTGCTGAGCTCAGCACTAACAGAAGTTACGCTCAGAATGTACAGCACAGCTGCTGCCATGAATTCTTCTCCTGCATCCACCATTTAAGACACTTAATGAGTATTTTCTGCAGTAAACAAGTTTTTGAGAAAGAGCACCCCACTCCAATAATTTCCCCTTAATTAATGATATCAACATGGAAAACTTGTTAACCTCTTCGGTCAAAAACAGTAAGATTAATAGAGATTAAAAACAATTTAACCAAGAGAAGGAGTTCAGACATTTTACCTTTCCCTTCTTTTCCATAAGCAAGGGCTGGTGGAATAGTTAGCTTCCGCTTCTCTCCCACACACATGTCCTTCAAACCTTTGTCCCAGCCTTTGATGGCTTCTCTTATGCCAAGTGTAAACCACATAGGTTGCCCATTGTTATGTTTGTGGCTGGAAAAAAAAGGAATAAAACACTTAATCTTTAAACAGCAAGTTCCATAAGAGGCAAATGGGACAGATGGAAGATGCTCACATTTACGCAATAAAAAAATAAAAGCCTATATGATGGCTTGGTATTTCTAAAATGAAAGTTCTAAATTTTAAAGTCCTTAGAAGTTATGTCTTGCATGACAAGGCGCCTTAAGAACTGCGAAGGAATGAAACAGCACATATAGGGTACACTCATGACAATGCTGAGCAACCTGGATCCTCGTGTTTACTTTCCCGATCATTTATTTTGCTTTGGAACTGATCAGACTAGAAAGGCATTTATGCTTGGAAGTTATGTTCAAGGCTATGTACGCTCTTTGTAAATCGCAAGTCACAAATCAGCTTGGCCATGACTGCAGTATACCTTGTAACATGCTTAGAAGAGTCAGTCACATCTCTTCTGAAAAAGCCAGCAGAAGAAAAAACGACTACACAACAGATGCCTAGAAAAAGAGAAATAAACGCATGCAGAGCACTTAAAACAGGCAGACAACCCCCTTTTCAAATGTAACCGGGTGGTACAACACAACCACTTCCACTCTATTGACAGGCACAGAATTTTAACTACAGCCCAAAGCCCCATTTCCTAGTCATGCAGGAATTGCGCTGAACACGAAGTAAGAGCACTTACAGGAGTTAGTCAGCAGCAAAAACTTAAAGCGTCACTACAACTCCTTTGAGAGACGCGGGTTAACTACAAGAGAAAATTAGTGAGATTTTAATTTACATCTGCAGGACCGTGAACATGCAAAACCGAAACATGTCTGTTTCGGTTACTATTAAAATGAGTTCCACAAGTGATTCCAGTGCAGCCTGCGGCCCCGTGAGCATCCCGCTGTCTCCCACTGTTAGCACCCCATTGCCTTACAGGAAAGGCACCATCAGCAAGGGCTTTGCAGGCTCCTCCTCGTATTTGCATCGCAGTTGCCCTCAGAATGCGATGTGCCTGGGCCGGCTAAGGAACGTACAGCACTTACAGCACATCAGATTCCAAAAGGCAGCAGCGTCTGCCAGCGATGCAAGCTTCCTGGCTCTTTGCGCCGAGGTGATAGCAAAGCTCTCATCTAGCCTGTTTCATCCTCTCGCACCACACGCTTACACGCGCACACACACCCGTGCACGCACGCACACACCCCGTCCACAAAGCTCGCCCCGCGCCCCGGGAGACTCACGTGGAGTGAAACATGGAGCCGTCGCTCTGCAGGAAGCCCTCGTAGTGCACCAGCATCATGTCCCCCCATTTGGTCCTCCGGTGGCACAGGAACGGCTTTTGCAGCACCTCCACCTTCACGTCGGCCGCGGGGATGAGGGCCGCGGCCGCGCAGCCCAGCAGGACGCCCAGCAGGGCGGCCCGCAGCGCCGCCATCCCGCCCCGCCGCCGGACCCAGCGCCCGCCTCAGCGCCGCGAGGCCACCATGGCCCGCCAGCTGCTGGCAGCACGGCGGCCGCCCGGCCCGGCCAGCCCGCAGACGTGGCAGCGGCCCTCGCGGCTGGCGGTCCCGATTTCGTGCCGGCCGGGACTAGGGGGAAGCACGTCCTCTGATTGGCTCAGCTCAAGCAGAAGCAGCCGCCCATTGGCTGCCTTTTCCGAGGCTCGGTTTGCCCAGTCGGAAGCGGCGCTTCGCGAGAGGGTCGCTAAGCGAAGGGGGCGGGTCCTGAGTTCCAGGAAGCGAACGTTAGCGCGCCGGAGAGTCCGCACAATAGAGCCGGCTCCTGCCGGCCTCCGATTGGACAGCACCGTCACCAAGCACACGTTCTTATTGGCTGCGGGAGGCCACCTGCTTCGGGCGTGCTGCACCCGCTCCCTCCTCCTTTCGTGTGCTCGTCAGGCGGAGTTGCGATTCTTGGAATGTTTTACGCAACCGTAGCGCTGAGGGGTGGTTCTTTGGGCGCGCCCTGCGCCAGAAGCGTGGCAGAGGGCCGGCACGGCGGCGGGGGCCGGGCCGCGCAGGGCGGGCGGCGCCCCGCTATGGCCCTGGGTGCCGGCAGAAGCGGCGGCGGTGGGGGACAGCGGCGAACGGCGTGAGCGCGCCGGGAGGCCGGCCGCGCTGCATGGGGGCGGGGGCCGGTCGCCATGGAGGGCGTGCTGTACAAGTGGACCAACTACCTGAGCGGTGAGTCGCTGTCCTCGCCGGCGACGGGGTCCGGTCCTCCGGGGAGGCACCGTGTCAGCCGCGCCTTCCTGTGCGGGTGGGAGGGCGCTGGCAATCCCTGCTAGGCTGAGCCGAGGTGCGGCCGGGCGGCGAGCGTGAGCCAGGCGGCGGGGTCGGATGTGCTGGGGCATTCCTGCCGCTCTTCCCCTTCACGCCTTCGGGGCTCTGAGAGGGGAATCGGACTGCGAGGCACCGGGCTGGGTTTCTTCATTAGTAAATACCCTTACGTTGTGGTATCCGTGCGGCGGGAGCCGCCGTTCTCGGCTTTCCGTGCGGGTTGCAGTGTTATTAGTCATCTCCCCACCGTCGGTAAGAAATCGAGTCCTGGGTCCGTTTGATCGAAAGTTGCGCGTGTTTGTTTTCGCCCGTTTCACGTAGGCGCCGGGGCGTATTTTGAAGCCGCACGCTTGCTTTCGTGCCGTGAGCTCTGAGGTCCGTGTCCCCGTGCCGCTGCCGCTGCAGCTGAGCGAGCGCCTTCGGCACCGCCGGGCGCGCGGCTGCGGTGGGCTCAGCAGCGGCTCTGCCGCCAGAAACGGTCCGTCTCCGTCATCGCTTTATCTTTTGGTAACCACGCTGACGTTAGGAAAAAAAAAATTCTTCTCCAGAAGAGTTGCGGGGCAGTGGCACAGGCTGCCCGGGGAGGTGGTGCAGCCACCGTCCCTGGAGGTGTTCGAGAACCGCGTGGATGTGGCACTGAGGGACGTGGTCAGTGGGCGCGGGGGGGTGGGTCGGTGCTTGGACTCGGTGACCTCAGAGGTCTTTTCCAACCTTAATGATTCCATGATTCCCTTTCAACCAAGCGATCCTTTTAAAGGAGGATGACGCTGTGCAAACCTCAATCTAAATTAATGCAGGGTGAAGGAATCTGCTTTATCTGGGTGCGTGAAAGCTAGATAAGCTTTCTTCTTCACAGGGAGAAACCATGTAATGGATGATTCAAGTATCTTTCTTATTTCTTGTTTCTGCTAGTGAACATAGTGGCCAAGGTTACCCTGTCTTTTCTTAGGTTGTTGAAGGGCTGTCTGTGTTGTGTTTGAGAACAGTAAATTGGCTGTTCTGCAAGCTGGCAATGTTGCATGTGCTTTCTTTAGGCGTATATTTTCTGCCCTGGGGCCACGGGGTTATAAGTTTATGCGATCATGCAGAAAAAATACAGTGGTGTATTTCCCCACAGCCCTGGGGCAGGAAGCTACATCTTTGTTGTGACCTACATGTTTACTTGATATCAAGAATGTTTCAGAAGTAGGAAATGAATTGGATTTACCATGGGCAAAGGTTGGAATGCCCGGTTTGCCAACTGAAACACAAATTAACTTTCCTTACTGTTCAAACAAGTTACCTTGTTTCATAATAAACACATTTGTTTGCTTTATTATAGATTAGGATGATGTGAGTTAGTGTTGATTGATTTCTGCTTGGAGATAGGTTTTCCTCTGGTGTTAAGCCTCAGTTTGTGTTCTGATTTCTCCACCTCCAAGCTGCCTGTGAAATCTGAGTGTAGAGAGTTTGGGCCTTAGAACTCAGAGTTCTTTTATCCCCCAATACAGTGCTCACCAGACAGTGGTTTCTCAATGTCATTATTACTACTATTTTTTTATGGTCATGTAAACTTTCATGGATTTACAGAGGTGCAGAGACTGGGAGACCAGAGACCATCCGGTCCAACTCCTCTGCTAGAGCACATTCCCTAGAGTAGGACTCTTTTCTGTGTCTCATCCTCTGAAGCAGATTAAAGAGAATGGGGCCCTTTATAAGGATCGTTGCTGAAGTATTAAGTGTGGTAGAACTTTTTCACTTGGCAAATACGATGCATCAGCAAACTTCCAATTACAAATCCTTAAACTCTGGTTATCTTAAATCTTGGAGGCATGCAAGTTAGATAGCCTCAGCCAAGTCTGTGATCAGAGCATGCAATTTGATCTTAAAAATTCCTGCATTTCATCCTTTGCCAAAACTCTATCTCAGTGTTGCTTGGTGAAAGTTGTGAGGCCTATTGTAGCCAGCAGTCTGGGTGCTAAGAGCATCACCCTGTACCTTCCCAATGCCTCTTTGGTCCGTTGTGCCGCTGCCCGTGGCCCAGGCCAGCTTAGAGCTCTCTGGCATGGACAGTGTCAAAGCAGACTTTTGGCTGCGGTGCTGTAATGTGACTGTTCCGAAACAGGGGGGATGCTGATTGCAGAACAGAGAAAAGTAGAGAGCAGAGATGGATTGCACACACAAGCTGCTCACTTCTGCTTGGGAGCTGCCTCCCACGTGATGCTTCTGCTGAACTCAGGCTGCAAGTCACACGTCTTGTTAATCATGCTCTGTGCTTAATAAAATAAATTTCTTTACTCTTTGGAGATTGCCTTGTAAAAATAAGCTGGGATTTTGATTTCTCACAAGGTTTATAGAATGAGCAAGCTGCTATTATCCAAAGGGAGATAGGGTGGAGTCAAGGAATACTTTCCTTCAATTATGTGTGTATCAGCTTGGCACTTTGATTTTTCTACATTTTTTCTACTGAAATTCAATTAAGTTCAGATCTTCAGCATAAAGTGTGCTTTACCTGAGTTAACTGGCCCCAGGCAGGACTGAGGCTGACTCTGGAAGGGATGTGATGTATCAGGTCTTGGCTTGTGGATCAAAGGCAGCTTAGTCATTAGAAAGAAAACTGCTGACTGCCTCCACTGATTTGCCTAGCATTCTTTATGTGCTTAGGGAAGTGGCTTTGATTGGTTTTACTTTTTCTAACCTTTTCCTGGTGTTTAAATATTCTCTTTGCTGAGTAACTCTAACCCTGCCTAGTTCATCTTCCTTGAGGCACCCTCACATTCATGCCATTGCTTGTGATGCTGCATTGTACCACATACCACAGCTGGCTCCTCTCATCTGCCGTTATGGTTTGTTCCCTGTAATTTTATTATTACACTCTGAATTCTTTGCAGTTTGTTCCAAGATGCCAAGAGCGAGCACCAAGCAGTAGATTTTAGGCTTCATGTAGAGCTTGAAGTTACTCATGTCTCTAATGATTCAGACTTCCTTAAACAACTTGAGGGGAAACTTTAAAAAAAAAACACTAATGCGCTTTCAAATTTATATCTATGGATATGTAGATCTGTGGATATTTGGATACTACTGCTTAGAATGAGTTTTTGATTTCAGAGTTTAAGAACTCTGACCTTTCAGGATGGGGGATATGTACACATCTATTCAATACGAAGCTCTGAAAAATAAAGTCCTCTGTTTCTTAGATGGAAGAAGTAATTGAAAACTACACATTAAGTAAACATTTGGTTCCCAGAAGCTTTTGTTTATCATTTTTCTCCCTCTTTTTGGCTCTGGTTATAGTCCAGCATGTGACTGCATAAAATGAGAAGGGCAGTGGTCCGACCAGCATTACTGACCGTGTCTGCTGTCAGACTGGGTGTTAGTCTTTGCATTTTGTGTAATTGTTTGTGTGATTTGACCTTTCCCATCCATTCTCTGCAAGCACACCTCCCTCACACCCCTGCTTTTCCTTCACGCAGCAGTCTTGCTTCTGTCATACCTTTTTGGAAACGAGCACTGTGCTTTGCAGCGGAGAAGTTGGATGAGGCTGCAGGAAAGGCCGGCAGTGTCCCCTCTCTCCTCTGTAGGTGAGGGAGCTGCAGAGCAGCACAGCACTTCCCAGCAGGTATGCTGCAGTACCGGTGCCTCTTCATTCTGCCCTTCTGCATGGAAATAAGCGATCACAGGGAACACAAGCAGAAGGTGGGGCAGAATGATGGTAGAGATTGTCTTGTGTGTTTTGGTGAAGTCGTTGTGTTGACTGCGGTTAGCAGGTTAACCACAGCGTAGGTCACAGACAGAAGCTGGGGAAGTGCAAACAGAGGAGGGGAATTTTGATAGGTGAATGTTTTGTTGCTTAGAATGACTCAAATCACTGTGTCTGAGCAGTGCAGATTTGCTGCATTTTTGCCTCCATCACTCTCAGCAATCAATCCCTACTCTGCCCTTGGTCCTTTCACCATCCCTTTTAAAAATGCTTGGTTACTGGGATGATGCTCTCCATTCCTCTTAAGGATAGCTGGACATGGCTATAGAGCTCACTTGCAAATATGCTCTGTGAAGGCAGGTTGCTTTTCCAGTGCTGCAAGTATTGTGCTAACAATATGTTTGGAATGGGGCTGGATTTTGTAAGACTTCTGGGAGAAAAAACATCTGGGAAAGGGTCGCTGTGTTTAAGCCAGTTCTAGCTGCTGTGTGCTTCACTTGCACCACTTTCCTCCCTCAAAAGAGTGATGAATTTGTGACAAAAAGTGATACAATGGTTCAAGTGTTATATCTGTTAATTTCAAGGCTTTTAGAGGCTATTGTTATGGCTACCTTTTGTTACCATGCACATCCTCAGTAGTAAAGTTGTCCTGCAGGCATTCCTGGCAGCTGCTCTCTAGGTGAGAGGATAACAGCTCAGAGGTGTATGAATCGTGAATCGTGATTCACAGCATTTCTGCTGTCCCTCATGAGTGGATTTTTATCCTGGCAAATTGTTTCACTACAATGTTAAGGCTGCATCTTCAGAAAATCCTTTCATAGCCTTGGAAGGCTGTTTGGAAATGCATCAGTTTTGGTGCATGTTACTTCTGCCAGGATAGCCCATTCCTGTGTTGTTTCTGCAGGGCAAAAGGGAAACTTTCAAGCTTTGTCTATGCAAAATGCTCTTGCTCTGAATACTGTTCCTGAGTGATAGCATTAAATACGTGGACATGAGAACTGAACTTCTCATGGTAAGAGGTAAAAGAAATTAATTCTTAAGATCAGAACTTTAAGATTTATTGTGTGTGTTCCTAATACTTGAGATTGCAAACAAGTTGGGGGTTTTGAAAACATTCTGTCATTTGCAGCATGGAGATTTTTATTGCCTTTCTTTGACAGAAAAATCCATGTCCTTCAGATATCAGTGTGTTAAAATCAACAGTGTTGCTTGTGAGCTGCCATGCAGTATTTGTGTTGTGCAGCTGAGGAAGTGCAGGGAGCTCAGTGGAGAAGGAAGTTTATCAGCACAGCCTGGGACAGCTCAGCAAGGTGACAGGCAGCTGGAAATAAGATCTCTTGGTTCAGTCCTGTGTTGTGACCATTGAAGATGCATCCTTTTACTGGAAAACCTAGTTTTCTTCATCATTGGAAGGCAGGCATTTTGTAAGTCACAGTTACATGCTAAGATGGTGTATTCTGGGCAATAGCTACTATCTGAATAACGAGGGGCAGGCTGGGTTTTAGCAAAGATCCAAACTTTATATTACATTTGCAGGTTTGCATTAGCACCGGCAACTTAGCATTTCACTTGGGTTTTGCAAGCTAGCAGCACTGCCTTGGGCTTGTTTGAGCTTTTCCAGCAGCTCTCATCAGGCTATCAGTCATGGACATGATACCTTAGGTGCTGGGAGATAGTGATGGGTGGAAGTATGTTGAACACTGCCCACCCTACCCAGGGTGGGATGAAGAGATGGGTGTTGCTTGCACTTGCTGTGAGATGTCTCTCGTGACTTTGCAAAGAACAAGTGCAGAGGGCTGCAACAGAGTCGTGTTGCTGGGATATTAGCAGTGGGGATGTGGTGTAGGCTCCTATTAGGTGGATGTTGCTGTAATGTGGAAGGTTCGTAGTTATCTCCTATCCACACTTAAAATCTGAATTCAGGTCCAAGAAATCCAAGGATTATTTATTTATTATGTTTTTTTAAAGACTTATGTTGAAGCTCAAGAAATTAGTAAGCATAAAGTATTAGAAAACTCTCCTGGGAAGCAAGTAGTAATAAAAGCTTATGTGTCTTGCCTTTGTCCCTTTTAGAAATGCAACTGGAACTGGCATCTCTTAATTGCAGCTTGTTTTCCAGGTCATCAGTTTGACTTCCTGAGTATGTAATTCTCCCAGATGGTTTGGCTTTATGGATGTCTGACATGATCTACATGTCTTCAAATGTGGGGATTTTTTGTTTGTTGTTTCTCCAGGCTTGGTACTTTGGTACCAGAGCTTTCTGGAGTCTGAATTGTGTAACATTAAAGTTTGAATTATGTCCAAATTTCAGTGGTGTTATCAAGAAATGTCAAGTTTACTCAGCAATAGTCACATCCAGACTTCCTGAAGTGTAGTGATGGAAGTAGGCAGATCTCTCAGACTGGGGAAACTGCTTAAGTGTGTGTTTCTGTAGTGGACAATATTTGGTCTTCCAGGCTTTGCAGGTACTAACTTCAAGTTTCACACAGAAGTGCGGTATTTATTAGGACCATAACCAGTGTCTGTTGGGTGTTTATTGTTAATGGCCCTGTGCCTCTAAGACAAGCTGTGGAAGCAGGTGCTACATTCTGTCCTGCCTGAACGCCAGCAATATTAATGGACTCAGTAAATTCTGCTGTTGTGTTAGTGCTCTCACCAGAGGTTTGGCTTTAACTTTCTATCTCAGATGAAGCCTGCATTCCAGCAATTGCAGTCTTCCTACTAGAGCTTATGGGTAGAGAATAAAACCAAATAAAGCCAGGATTTGTGCTTATGGAAGTATCTTTTTGCTGCTTTTTCTTTCTTCGTTGTTTTCTTTCTCTGCTCTTTGTTTGTCTGTGAATGTGAAGTGTAATTGAAGATTGTATCCTTGTTGCACTGTCCGGGATTTGTCAGCCACACACTATTTTTAGCTGGTTGTTTAGGATAACCTTCCGGTGGCATTGAGAACCAGGTGGTTATTGCATCTTCTGACAGAATCCTGCTGTGATTGTTTTTTTTTTTTAATTGTTTACTTTTACCAAAATGCATTTTTATTAGAGTAGTGATGATTGTGTTCAGAAAATATATGCCGCTCCAGTTAACAATTGTCTATCTCTGTACTTCTAATGCCTTCTTAATAAAGAAGACTTAGGTTTTGCAAAGCAAGACAGATAATTGCTGATACTGCAGATGAACCCCAAACAAACAAAAGCCTTCACAAAATGTATTGACTCATGACATTTTTAACCAGCATTTGAAATGACAGGGGCAGAGTGCTTTGCATGTTGGCTAATTGATAGCTTAGCCTTTGATTGATGAGATGCAATTTAGTAGAGCATCAGCTGCCTGAGCAAAGCTGAAATAGTTTGTGTGCACCAGCTGGATCTCCAGACTGAATTAGAGGCCTGTATTGACTGTGACACTGTGTTATTTAAGGGATTGGATCTGTGCCATCAAGTGTCTGAAGCAATGAACTGCTTCTCTCTGCTCAACAATCACCTCCTTTTTTTGTGAGCTCCTCCATACAAATAAAGAAAATATCCTAAAATCATTATTTTGATGACAAGACTAATAAGAACCAAACTTGTTTTCTTTTTTTTTTTTTTCTTTAGAAGTTTCAATCTTTGTAGTTTTTATCATTCAAGCAAAATAAAGAACCTTTGAGAAAGCTTTGGCATTTACAACACTTTTATATCCTTCTAGAAAAGAGTGGAGGAGCTCTAGAAGAATATGAAGAAGGCTTTATGTTGAATTTGTTTTCCCATTTCCCCAAAGGTTTGGTAATGTATAGACCAGGCTGTCCTTCGTGCTGTGGTACTGCTTATACACAAAACAAAACCCATCTCCTACTATTTGTCTGGGGCTTTAGGGCTTTCTAAGGGTGAACCGAGTCGTGCTTGGCTACAGCACTGGCTTAAAGCCAGCTGGTTAAGAGCAGTCACTCCTCCAAGGAGATGTGCTCAGGCTCTTGGGGTGCTGGGTGCATGGCAGCCGTGTTTTTTTCCTGTTAGATTGCTGACCCAGTGTGGAACATGGGTATCTCAGCTCTGGCCCTGGCCAGAAAAGCTTGTTGCAGCTCAGGAATGAAAGCTGATTTGCTCCAGTGACGTTGCTCTCTCACTTCTTAGGTTAATGAGCTTTTAGTTTTTAATTAGAAATAAATGGTGGCTACTCAGTCTTGTTTATTTCTATCCTTTCATGCTGGAGAAGTGCTTCCAAAAGAAGAAAACAGAAGGGATAATTTAGTTCTGAAGTTGGGCAGCAGGGTGGGCAAAAGCAATGCCCAAAGCTATTTGTTTTGGTCTAGCCTGGTGTTTTCACTGTTTTCTTGGAATGGATCCAGAAGTGCAAGTTATTAATTACAGGCCCCTTTTTATAGGGACAGCATGGGAGTTTCACGAGCTATTGAGAAAAGCTTCGTTAAAAGACAACTTTCCCCTTTCCCTTGATATAAGATATTCTTGCCCTTTGTTTCTGAAGGCAGTTGGAATGGGCCTTTCTGAAGGGAGGAAGATACATAAAGCAAGACAGCTGTGCTGACTTCTGGAGGGAATGAAGGGGTGGATTGAGAAGCAGTGGATGGAACTGAGAGATAGTATTTTGAGAAGGTGCTTTAAGGAGAGAAAGAGTCCATTGTACCTTGCTAGTATAACTACTGAAAATGACATATGGCATCTCAGGAATATACCTCCGGAGTGTAGCTGACAGCCTTCAGGTCCATCTGCCTGCAGGAAGGATGTGTAATTGCTGGCAAGCAGTGGTCGTAGAGTACAACATCCAGACCTGTCACAATCTTACCTGTTTGAACAATTTATTTTCCCTGGGGGAACTGAGAATCTTTGGGGCCTTATTTGCAGCAATTAGAATTAGAGAGGTGGTGGAACTGCAGAGGGTGTGGTAACTGAGAAATGCAGTTTTGTCTTTTAGGCTGGCAGCCTCGTTGGTTTCTTCTCTGTGGTGGTATCTTGTCCTACTATGATTCTCAGGAAGATGCCTGGAAGGGTTGCAAAGGAAGCATCCAAATGGCTGTGTGTGAAATTCAAGGTAAGTCAGATGCAGTGACACAATTGCACAAAGTTTGGCTAATGAGCATATTTTGCGTTTTAGATGAGATTTCAGGTCACGAAAGCTACTTGTGCTCTTATCTTGATGTTATGTATTTCTAGTAAATCAGGAACTTGATTTATGTACAAGCTTTTATTCTGTAGTATTTTGAAAATGTTAGAAGAGCTGCAAGTCTCATACAATGGATATTCTAACTGGAGGTGTGTCGCTGTTCTTTCATGAGCCATAGTGGAGGAACACAGAGCTTCAAGTGACTCTTCCTATGCACAAAGTGCTAAAACTAAAAATATGAGTAATAAACTTTGATGCTGCTCTCTCAAATGGGTTTACTTGCCATGGAAGGCATAGCTCCCAAATGCTACTGAACTGATTGCAAAGCTGTCTTTCATAGCCTTTTGTCCCACAGCTGTACATGTGTCCTGTCTATTCCCTTGCTCAGAAGTAACAAACTGGCAGTGGGGGAGTTTTGAGGCTAGCATATCTGTTGGGATATTCAGTTGGGCTGGGAAGGGTGGAGGAGCTGGCCTGAAATTTGTGTTGCTTCTAGTTCATCCTGCAGATAACACACGAATGGACCTGATCATCCCAGGGGAACAGTACTTCTATCTGAAAGCAAGAAATGCAGTTGAGAGGCAAAAGTGGCTGGTTGCACTAGGAACTGCCAAAGCCTGTCTGACAGACAGCAGGACACAAAAGGAAAAAGGCAAGAAATCCCTTTTGCTGTCACAAATGTTTGCATTTTATTTCCCCGACCCCTAGTAGATGAAACACAAAGATGACAAAATCAGTGCTTGATCTCTGTGTCCAACTTGTGCTTCAGGCCTTTGGTGCTGATAAACACCAAGATGTGGGAGCTCTAGATAGCGATGTCAGGCATTAGCTCTCGCTGCAGGGATTTGAATACTTCTCCTTAAGACATGCTGTGTATAAATATTTTGAAAACTGTGCTGATGGCTTCCATGAGTACAAGAAGAGTACACAAAATGCCATTAATACAAGACAAAATGTCTTTATTTAGGGGTGGTGGAGCACTGGAACAGGTGGCACAGAGATGTTGCAGAGTCCAGCATTGGCAGTATTGAAGATCTGTCTGGACTTGATCCTGAGCAACCTGCTCTAGCTGTCTGTCCCTGCTTTAAACAGAGGAGTCAGACTAACTGATCTCTTCCAGCTTCAACCGTTCTATGACTCAAAGATATACATTAAGTTTTGTACTGGAAAGTGAATGTCTTTTCCCTCCAGTGTTTTCTTCTCACGAGGTAGCATCCCAGTTCTTTAACTCAGTATAATTGTTTGCTACTTAGTGAAAACAAGCAAATAAAAATACAGTATGTAGGGATTTTGTCTTTAAGGTCCACTGAGATCAAATATTGTCTACTTGTTTGTTTTTTTTCCTGTGCTGTAAGCCTAGGAACATGCTGATTCTGCCTATGGCAGCAAATAGTGAAACATATTTACCTGTCACAAGTGTAATCTTTGGCCAACCCTGCTCATCTTTTTGAGTTTATAGAAAGTGCTTTGAAACAGAGCAGTATTCATTGAATTAGATTGGATAATAATGTCTCAGCAGCTTTACAAAATCACCTACTGCAAGATGGATACACTGAATTCAACACTACTTTTTTTTTCGTTTTTAGAATTCACTGAAAACACAGAAGCCTTGAAGACTAAAATGTCTGAACTTAGACTGTACTGTAACCTTCTTGTTCAGCAAGTGCATAAAACTAAGGAAGCCAGCATTTCTGCTGTATCAGAACCGGAGGTACAGCTCTATTTTTGGTGTAGACCTCTTCTATAAAAACTTAAGCTTTCTGAAGTCTTCTGGTTAGCCAGTGCAGTATTTGTTCACGCTTACTGTTGCACTTTCTGCTGAGGACCTGTGGGAAATTGCATACCCACACAACAGTTCTTGTTTAAATGAAGTAATACTGTATTGTTGTTGGCAGTGTTACTTCATTCTGTGTGTTTTTCAGTTGCAGTAGTTGTTTTTTTTTTTTTTTTTACTTGTGGGATTTTTGAAGTTACTGTTATCTTCAGATTATTTTCTGTCTCATTTGTTTACTTTCATTTCCCTTGTCAGTGATACCACTGGAGTACCACTACTGAATACAGCAAGGCTTACATTTAATGGATTTTTAACATCAGAGATGTGTAATGTAAAAGGCATAGCTGTTAAAATACAAATCTACTCTGCTTGTGGTAGAGAGAAACTGACAAAAGCAGCAGTGCTATAAAGGGGCATAGGCCCAGTAATATGGGCTGCCAGTTCTCTCCGCAGCTGACACTTCGCCAAACAACAGCTTTGTCAAACAACAATCACAACTGTAGCAGTTATGGGATTTGTAGATATTAGTTGATCCAAGCTGATCTTCTGTGGTGTGTCTGTGTGTTCCAATTGGTTTATTTCTACAGAGTGGGATTGATGTGGGAGCTCTGTTGAAATCAACCTGTGACACCTTCCTGAAGACTCTTGAAGAATGTATGCAGATTGCAAATACTGCCTTTACTTCTGAGTTATTACATCAGACCCCTCCTGGATCCCCACATTTAGCAGTTCTCAGAACAAACAAGGTAAGGACCAGTACCCTTTTCTATCAGTCTTGGTGTGGAAGTTGCCATTTCTTAAAGTAGCATTTGTGGAAACAGATAATGATTTTTTTTTTAATTTTTATTTATTTATTTATTTTGTGGCCAATCTTTTAACTTTTAATTATAGGTGGAAGCTATTAACCATTAACTTTCAGGGCTTGATCCAGCTGCAGGCAATAGTGTTTAAAATATCCTGGCTGTGTGGCCAGGATGGTCCATTGTGGGAGCTCACAGCAATTAATACCCCTGAGTTACTGCAGCATCACTTCTGTCTTAATGTGCCAACGGGCTGATGAGCTCATCTTTTTAATGACTTTCTTGAATCTTGAATCCATAGCTACATAGGTGTAAAATTGGAGCATCTCTAGCAAACAGCTTGTTAAGGAGTATGTAGGAATGTAGATTCTTCACTGCACCTTGGAAGAGAGTTCACTTCTCTGTATCTGGTGTCTGGCTTCATGTTTCTTATCCTAGTTTTTCAGGTATTTTTTTTTTTTAAGTAAAGAAAATATCATTGCAAGGAAAACACTTTGCCCTAGTTTTGTATGTGTGCTGTATGGCATCTCACTTGGCACTTGCTAGGTAGCTCTCTTCTGAAAGAAGTAATCTTTTTTCTTTTCTTTTCTTTTTTTTTTCTTTCCAATATAATAATGTTGTCATGTTTTTCATATTTCTCTGTATATTGTTTTTGGGTCTATGCCTTGCTTTTCTACTGGCTGCAGTTTGTATTTGTTAAAATGCAAAGTTCTGAAACACGATACAGTCTTCTTATTATAGAGAGTGTGTCCCTACCCACCCCCTCTTATCTTACAGATAAAACACTCAGTCTTGTCCAGTCACACCTCGGCAGAAAGGTATAATAAATCTTTATTATAAATCTTTTTCTAATCTGTTTCTGATAGTGTCTGTACTTTCCATATTTTTACTCTGATATTACCAGTAGTGAGTACAAGTAGAATTATATTGCTCTGAGCCATATATTTGGGAACAGAAGCAACAGAAAGGAGCTAGCTCATCCCACTTCATGTCTTGTCTTTCTCAGCCTTTTCCCTTTTATTTTTCTCCTCCCCAACCATCCATCATGTGACTTCCTGGCCAGTCACCAGCCATCTCTTTCTACCTCGATGCTCTTCCCTACATCTTAGATTCTACTCCTTAAGCTCATTAAGTCATTGATGGAGAGCAAGCTATATTATTCATGGCAAGAAATATTATGAAATGGCAAGAAGTGTCTTTATATATTATATACATAGTATTTAAAAACACTAACACAGGGATGATTTTTGGTTACAATACCTCCATGATTTCCATTTTTTGTAAGCAGTTGAACTTCTTTGATTGCATCTCTTTTTAATAAAGATTATTGTCAGTACATTTGATATTCTGAAAACTGACATTGTTATATATATCATACTTGCTGTGGATAGGTGGCCTTGTTCCTTTTGTTATTGTAGAGAAGTTATTTTTCTCAGAGCAGTCTGTAACAGCATGTAATTTCTGGCAACTGTTTTTCCCGTATTGTTATTTGTGTGTTTTCACAGGAAGAAGTACTGTTTCATACTAACCATTATTCCTTCACTTTCTTCAGACAGATGGAACTGAACCCGTGTGAAAACGGCTCTGTAAAAGCAGAAATTAACCAGCAAGAGCAAACCTTTATAAAAAGTCTAGCATGTTTAAACTTGGAAACAAACAAGGGGAGCAGTGATGTTTCTGTTGAGAATCATATTGAAGAAGATTTGGCAGGTAAGTGTGTGTACCAACTTTTATCCAGCTTTGTCATTCTTGTAGTATAAGTGGAGTGCAGTGTAGGCTGCCTGTGAGAGTGCTGCTGATGTTTTGCTTCCTGGAAAAGGGAATGTCAGTGTAGTTTAGTGTGATACCTGCGCATTGTCAAGTCTTCTCAGCTTAGTTCTTTCCCTTGTTGATCTTAGGACTGAATGGGGAAGAAATAAAAAGTGCTGATTGACATGAGCACTGATATTTTCTGGCAGAGCATGGGATCTTCTTGATCTGTGAACAAGTATTTAATTCCCAGAGGCTCTCTGCTGGGGAAAATCAGCACCTCTGCTAGTATATAGGGTTGCAGTGTCAGAAAGGAGCACTGAAGTTTTAGGTGCCTATGTCATGAATGTAGCAACCTTTAATATCATAGCACTACCCACCTAAACAGGCACTTTACTTACTTACCAAGAAAAGCGAACAATTCAACTTCTGAAAGTGGGCACTGCTACTTCCCAGTACTGGGGAAGCTATAGTTGGGTGAGAACTATTTTCCTTCAAACAGATAATCTGTACTGACCTGCATATAATAGCTTTTTCAAAGCTCTTCTCTACTGGAGGCTGTCCTTGTTGAGGATGCAAGAGTTTGCTGACATTGCAGCCTGGTACTTGGTTTGGTTGATTAAAAATAGTGGGAAGGAGACTGGTCTAAGTGTTGTCTTAGTAGCTGAGAGCAGAAGAAGTGTGGTATCATGGTGCTGGCAGGGAAAACTTATGTGATCAGTTATCATAATGCCTTCCTTCAAATAGGACACATCTTGAGGAACAGTAACAATAGTATGGGTATGTGGCTGTTTTCTTTTTCTATTTATTTATTCTTTTGTTTCCTTTGAATTTAAGGCATGAAGGAAGATGAAGAGAACAAGCTGCAAGCTGTAGAAAGCCTTGATGCCCACAAGTTGCTGCAGTCAGAAACAAATTCTTTAAGTGGATTGACTCTGTGTGAGGAAGATGAAAATGAAAATGGGTTTCCTACTTTCTTCAGCGTCATGAGCAATAGGTAGTACATGTTGCAGATTTAAATCATGAGGATGATACAACTTTTTAAGCCTTTAATTGACTCATTTTCAAGTCTGTTCTGTCTGCAAAGCTTAATTTGCTGAAATAATATGTAACAAGAATGCATACAGCACAGAAATGGATGAAAATGCCCTTTGTAAAATCAGTTGTACAGAGTGGAGTGGGAGGGTTTTTCCCTTGTTTGTAATTACATGCTTCACATGCCACCAGATGTGTATTTTCTGCAGTCATTAAATGATTAAAACAAAAGCTGTGCTGGTGGCTTAATCTGTATAAATTTTAATTCTGTTCAAATTAAGTAAGCATGAAACAGTTCCGGTTTTTAGTAGTTACAGAAAAGGCATTGTTAAAGTAACAGTCTTTCCTGCTTGTCTTGGATACCAGGTTCAGTGATATTGAACTTCAGGAGGAAGAGGGCATACCAACAGAAGAGTTTCTGGAGTCATGTTATGCAATTGTGCCCGTTCTGGGTAAGCAGCTTCTTTTCATGCTGTGGTGCCTCTGAGTCCTTTTATCTGCTACCAGCTGGGAGAAAAGCTTTGTTCTGGCAAATTTTTTACTCCTCTGAATTAAGGTCATATAAGTAGTTCCCGCCAGCAGAATTAATGTGACTGGTACTGGGAGATGTTTCTCATTCTTGCTCTTTATAGAGGATCCTCTCTCATTTAGATAGGACCTCTGTATAAGCTGTCTGGAAATCTATGGCTATGTCTGGAACAGTAATTTTTTTCCCTTCAAAAGAACAGCACGTAATTCCTTATGCATCCAGTACAGCTGTCTGCAGTACCATCAGCTGTACTATCTATTGTCACTCTTTAATTCTTCCCCCATGCCCCAAATAACTTCTGTTTCCAGCTGGTGCAGTCCTTCACCTCCATTGTCCCTGAATCTAACGGTGGGTATAGAGTCCTTGTAAGTGTGCATCCTGAGGACTTAGCATTTGGAAGTCTGTGTATTTTAATACTTGTACCAGCCAACACAGATTTGTTCTCCACCAAAGAAAGACTTCAGTTTATGTTGTTTTTCTAGTTTCTCCTACTTTTTAGAGATATTGTTAAGATAGTAAATAAAATTGTTACTAGGATTGAAAAGAGTAATAATTTTAAAGTATGTACTTCTTTTTCCTCTAGACAAGTTGGGACCAACTGTTTTTGCTCCTGTTAAAATGGATTTTGTAGGTAACATCAAGGTAACTGTTGATTTTTTTTAACACTGCCTTTTTAAACAAAATATCTGCCTTTGCTACCAGACCCCAAGAATTTTTGTCATCGTAGTCAATTCTGGAAGGCTTGATAGCATTTGATAATTTTGCTATCTGCCTGATCAGAATGCTGAAATATTTCTAATTCTGTTCTTACAGATATCATGTATTTAGTAAATCCAACTGTTGTGCACGACCAAACTTGGAAAATACTTAATTGGCTGCCAAGTAAAAAGTCTATATTACATAATTCATATGACTTTGATTCTGGGCTGAAAAGATCATAAGTCATAATGTGGTGATATCAATATTAACTTTAGTCTGCCGGTCAAACAGGAAATAAACACCTTTCCTCACCCAAGAAGGAGCAAATTAGCTCATTAAGAACCAGTTTCTCAGCAGCTGCAAATCGGGAACAAATCCTTCAACTTAGAATCTCCTGAAAGTTCTTCCAGCTCTAAGTCTGAAAAGGTTTGCTACTTGTGAGATAAGATGTATTCGCAGTGAGACTCTTCATAGTTTTTCTTTCAAGGTTGAAAATAAAAAAAGCAAAACATATCTCCTGAGTGTATGATAACAAACACTGGAAGAATACAGTTTTAAAAAAATACAGATCCTTGACTGAGCCACTTGCTTTCGTTTGCGTTGTGTGCTGGGTTCGCAGTAGGAGCCAAGCCCTGGTGCAGGGAAAACCAGGCAGTGCTGTGGTGCTAGGCTGATCCAGCAGATCTGTGCCCCTCTTGATTAGCCAGGTGTACATGGAGCTGTGTGCAGCCATGGGGAATGCATGACATAAGCCTGTCAGCTGCCCAACCACAGAATCACAGAATCTCCAACATTGGAAAAGACCTCTAAGATGATCCAGTCCAACTGCTCACCTATCACCAGTATTTCACACTAAACCTCATCCCTCAGTACAACATCTAAATGACACGTAATGAGCATAAGAGGATGGAACTGATTGTGGAGGGGATCTGTAATATCTCTTTGCAGGAAAGAATTACGATGAATAAGTGGTATGCATGGGAAAGGATGCTGTTTAATCTCAAAAACATAAAGCTCTGCCTCTTGTTTGTTTGTTTTTTTTTCTCCAGAAAATAAATCAGAAATTTATAACCAACAAAGAAGAGTTTGATACCCTGCAGAAGATAGTGCTCCATGAAGTCAGTGCAGGTGTAGCACAAGTTAGAAACTCTGCTACAGAGGCACTCCTATGGCTGAAAAGGTAATAGTTTTATAACTATTTCAACTCTAAACACCCAAAGTGCAACAAAGGGTCAGCAGAAGCTTATGTATATGGAGCGAACTAATTACTTTCACAGGCTCCATCTAAGTTGACTAAGCTCAAGATTAATGTATTATCTGTAGTTGTGTCACAGCAACTACACTAAAAGACCTGAAGAAGTAATCACAGACAGCCTTTTTTTCTATTAAAAAAACAAACAAGCAACAGAACAAGTTATAGGGAATGACTGTTCCTGCTGGAACAGTACATCATGCAGATCATTTCAGTCTTCAGCACAAATGTTTTAGCAGTACTTTTTTCCTTAAGCTGGAAGTGAGGTTGGAGGACATGGCTACATTTTTGTTCAGATTAAAAATGATTTTGTAATTCTGAGTTTTGTAAGCAGTGGGTGTTGAGTTGGCTCCAGAATATCCCTCTGATATCTGGAAATGAGAAATTGACTGTATATAGACATTACAAAACCTCCAGAACTGTACTGAACTCTGTGGGACCAACTTTGTTATAAATATGATTTCTCTTTGTTTTGTTGTTTCATCCTGGCAGAGGCTTAAAGTTCTTGAAAGGGTTTTTGACAGAAGTGAAGAATGGAGAAAAGAATATCCAAACAGCTCTGAGTAAGTACCAGTTGCTTTATTCTTCACGTGCTTCTGAATTTACATAGCTATTTTCCTTCTTGTTTTGAATGTGTTTTCTTCAGTGATTAGTAATATGAATAACCTCCAAGACACAATTTTTTCTGAAAATTTCTGTTTTTTGAAAATGACAATCATCAAGCAGATTGCTAAATAACTGGTCAGTCTTGATTTAGGGCCACATAAATATTTGCTTAATGGAAATACTTCTGGCAAGGGGACAGGCATATCTTAGGAGAAAAGTGCTTTGTCTCAACCCGTTTACTCCACTGATATTCAGTGAGAGCATTTCCAGATTCACAGTTGCTGTTCCATTTCTTCAGTTCCTTGAGAAGTAGGCCTCTATATTTGTTGTTAAGGCAGAGAATAGACTTGTCAATACTGTTTGCTCCACAATACTTATTTTCCCCTTATTTCTTTGCTTTTACTGCTATATACCTTCCACACACGTTGTCTCTTACTGTAAAGATAAAAAGGATATATTTGCCAGTCATTAGACTGGTAGCTGAGGAGTATTTCATACTGGAGCAGATACCATGCCTGGCTTTTACTGACTTTATATGCTCTTCAAGAATCACTGTCTGCAGTTCTCCAAGCAAATATCCAAATGCAGCAAAAGAGATATTTTCTTGATGCAGCTCAGGGAATCTATGATGATACCAGATACTTAAAAATTAAAGTGAAAGCCAAGGATACTGAACATTGACAGTAACAAACTGGGAAAATGAGGCTCAAAGGTATTCATTTTGTATATAGGATGTTTTCTATATGAAAGTGGAGCTATCTAGAAACATAAGGATCTTCATCCAAGGCTACACTTGGGAGCACTCACAGGAGATGCACAGAGTTTCTGGTTTTTGTTTTTTTAATAACACTCTGTTTTCTGTTTTGAGGGTTTTTAAACTTGGCTCTCAAATGTAAAGAGAAGGTTCTCATTTAATATCTGAGTTAACCACGTAGGCTGAAGCTGGCTAACCATCTGCTTACGGAATAATTTCATCCCATGTGATATCTTCTCAGACTTGCACTGAACTAAGAACTAGATAATAGAGGAAAAGTTAGTTGTGAAGCACAGCTAATCAAATAACTGCCTTTGTCTTCCTGTCTGCTAGAACGCTTACATGCTATTATAGGAGACTGACAGCTGAGCTGAGACCCCAGTACAGAATCCTGATTTGTCTCTCCTTTTTTTCCTTCCTTTCAGTCATAACTTTAATGCTTAAAGCAATCATTTGCATCAGGTAGCAATAATATATCCTCGACTAGTTGTTCCTAAGCTGCAATATCCCTTGGTGATGCAAAACTAAATGCCATACACGTATCTCTTTTTTGTTGTTTGTTTTTGTTTTCTTTCCTTTAAGACAATGCTTATGGAAAGACATTACGGCAGCACCATGGTTGGGTTGTCCGTGGGGTCTTTGCGGTAAGTGCTTCTCTTAGCTACTGTTAAACCTGGGGGTCTTGTTATTGAGAGCTTCTGTTGTTTTTAATTAATGTGGTATTAAAAATAGAAGCATTAAAATAAGTAGATTCCTTTGTGAGATCTTATCCTCAGAGTGCACGCTGTAGCTATCAAGGTATTAGCACTGAGCTTTCAGGGTGGAATTTGTTTTCTGGACCTGAAATGGACTATTTTTGCATGCGTATTGTTTTTTATTGTGTGTTTTGCACTTTAGTGTTGCAGGCCTGTTAAAATAAGTGAGCTTTTGAGATTGCTTGTTTGAGGATTTATTTTTCTTTGTGTATGAGCATTTGAGAAGGGCTGGTGCAGATTGTGATGGGACTTGAATATATTGGCTCCAGTAGTTTATTTTTTGTCCAGTCTGCCAGCTCCCCCTTGTGTCTTTCTCTGGAAATTATTAGTGAGACTATTAAAAGAAAAAGGAATGCCTCAGCCAGCTGATCACAGCTGAGACTGGGAGAAGCAGGAATAGTGAGGAGAGTTTTCTAAAAACCATTTTGAGAATGGGACTTCAGTGCTGAAGTGTGTGATTCTGGGCTGGGAGCTTCCCTAACAATCTAGACTTAGTTGTATTTTCTGTTTAATTAACTTCTGATGTTTGTTCTTTGTTTGTACAAAATATGATAAAATGACACTTCCTATAAATCAGGCACCTCTGAGGATGTCTTAAAATGAGAATCTACACAGAGATAATAAACATTTTAGTCTCTTTATCAGTTAATAGACTTAACATATCCATGTACGTCAATGTATTAAATCTAGGCAATCTAAGTGTCGAAATTTTTTCACAACTTCACTTGGGTTTATTTTCCTGTTCTGTTTGGCAAATTGAAAAGCTTTGTTTCCTTTCTCAGTTAGCTTTAAGGGCAGCTCCAACATACGAAGACTTCGTAGCAGCTCTGTCTGTAGAAGACTGTGATCCTCAGGAGGAAACATTTTACAAAGCAATGCAGAGGGACCTCAACATTTACTTACCAGCCATGGAAAAGCAGCTAAATATCTTGGACACTCTCTATGAAGTACATGGTTTGGAGTCAGATGAGGTGGTATGACTACAGTAAGACAGCGTCTTAAAACTTCAGGGACTGTATCTGTTAACAAAGATTTTTTTGAACATCATTTCTGTTCACTGTAGCTTTTCAGGTGGGAGAGGTGTGAGTGTTTGGGGGGAAGGGTATGTATGGTTTTTATTTCTTGTTGTGCTTGTTTTGTGTTTAAATGCAGAGGTACAGTTTCTTTTTGGATTATAACTATGTCTGTAATGAATGTTTTGGACTGTTTCTCACTTGCCTCACTCCCTGTTCCCTTCACCTTGTAAAAGTAACAGAGCAGAATTTGCCCTTTGCTTCCACACTTTGTGTGGGAGCTGCGCATGCAGCAGAGCTGTCATGATATCCACGTGGAACCAAGCAGGCACTGCTGGCTCGGACTCTCCCTTGCCCTGTGCTGCCCACTCTAGTGAGCCTTATTGTAGCAGAAGAGAGGGTGGTTAAATGCCAGCGTAACAGGTATGCAGTGAGTTTTTACCTTATTTTGGGTTGAAGCTTTTTTTTGATTGGCATTTTGTTTTGTTTGTTTGTTTTGTTAGTGCAGCATCTCTAAAAGTATTAGAGATCTTCACCCTGAGCACATGTAGCTGGTGATTTGAGCTTCCACAGGGATCCAGCCTTGGAAACTAGCTGTTGTGTTCTGTCCCAGCTACCTGTTTGTACCACATTTTCCCTTCTCCTCCTTCTTGGCTCCTGCCAGTGAGCCAAATCTAAAGGAAATTTCCCCTAGTGCCCTCCACAGCTAGATGCTCCTGCCCGTATTGCTTGAGATGAGCATGCTGCAACCATATATTGTGCTGCAGCAAGGAAAAGTATGTGCATGACAAGAGGAGGGAAGGCTGTGAGCATGGAGTGCCATTCTGTCTGCACTGGTACCACTATTGTTCCCTTTGCCCCATATTGTCTCAGTGCTGGGGCTGGTGAGCCAGAGCCTCAGCTGGCACAGACTAGCAGAGCCCAGCTAGTTTAAACAGGATTTTACACATGCAATTGAAAATATGTCCATTACCCTGATTTACTAAAGTGTTTTTCTTTCTGTATTTTGAGTTTAGGATTTTTTAAAATTAAATTCACACAAATTGAATACAGGTAGCAGTTCAAAAAGCAGATTTTATTGAAGTCCCTAGGTTGCTGTTATAGGCCAAGACTTCATGAAAATGGGCATAAAATAGCAGAGCCTAGGGAAAGCTAGAATTTATCATTGAGTTGTGGCACATTATGCCATTTGCAGACTTTAAAATCTAAAATTACGCAGAAGTGGCTAGGAAGTAAGAAGGTAAAATTTGCTCTTTTCCTCCTTTACTGATACAGATAAAAATGTGCACCTAGTTGCTATTAGAAGTGATAAAGAAATCCTTTTAGATAGTTTGTAATACATTAATGGGTAAGGATAAAATTCCTGCTTGTGTTAAGATTAGAACACTGTGAGTTACTTACTGCCAGTTCAAGGTATAAGTGGGTTTCTCAGTAGTGACACAGGGCTTTGGATAGTTTTGTCCAAAGACCTGAGTGTAACTCATGAGGAAAAAAGACTAATGCTCATGAGGTCCCTTAGCTTGGTAAATCCTCGAAATACAGGAGAAGTTTTGTCGTCACCATACTCACAGGATAAATACTGGCTTTTGCTAGGCTAAAAAGCACATTGTGACTCAAATGAATGTATTGCAGGCCTGCTGCATCATTCTGAGAAAGCAGTCTCTCTGCATACACAGTACTTGATCTTTTCTCAGGAGCCTAGCACTGCAGGCTTTAAGAAAAGCATATGATGAGTGAAGAAAACACCAAATGAGACACGCTTGGTGCGTAAAGCATGATACTAGAACTGTAATTGGGCATTTAAGTAGTATGACTTTCTTGTTTCTGTCATCTTTTCTGAATTGTGACTATCTATAGTCCCTATGTGCACCAGGATAGAATCAGAAGGATATAGGGTTTTTAGTTCTTGGAGTTTTCTTATTTTAATTACTCTATATTTGTTTGAACATGAAGTCAGAACTTTTTACCAAAGCTCCATTCAATTATTTCTCTACTTGCAGTGGTAAAAATGAAGCAGAGAGCCTTTGAGATATGACTGTCTGCTTCTTCAAAGTATGAATGCAAAAAAACCCATACCTACAGCAGTACAACCAGCTCTCCATCCCGTGTGGTTTCCTCAATCTTTTCAGCTATTATGTGGGAAACTACTGTAACAGGTCTTAATGCTCTGATTAGGTAATGGAGACCACATTGCCACAAAATAGCAGGAATGTGTGGGGAGAGCAGGAAGAGATCAGTCTTCTCTAAAAATTAATAGTGAAATCATGATGAAAATTGACTTCCCTTTTTTGAACTGTAAGCTTTCAGTAGCAGAAAAACAGATCTAGCACTTAAAGGCTTGGGCATTTTTTGCTTTTGTTTCATTTGTTCTGTTTTGTTTTTTCAACTAGTGAGAGAACCACTGGCTTGTTAGTAGCATGCCAAGCCCAGTACTTGATACAAGAAGTAAAGAAGGTTTATTTCTTAAGCAAGGAACTGAACAGCTTCGTTGGGCCACTAGCTTCAGCAATTACTAACTTTTACAGTTCCTCTTTCTTCCAACAAATAGGAAGTAATCTGCAGTGTATATTCTGTAATTAGCATGGCATCCACCCTCAGAGCAGGCTTTCTTGCCTTGCTCTTCTGTGTAAAGTTGGTCTTTCTAAACTGGAAATCTGGTGCTTGGAAACATTCTGTGAAGATGGTGGCTTCAGGAGATGCTGGTGTCCATGTTGTTTAATAGGGGCCTTGTAGAGATGGAATTGAGCAAGGTCACCTTGCCTTAAAAACCTGTGCTGTTTCTTGCACTGTTCTTGCAGGATGTTGAGTTTTTTAGACTTAGGAATGCTATCTTTTCAAACCACCACTGAGAAATGCTGCAGCGTGTTGCAAAGCTGAACTCCAGCTTATACCTCTAAGGATGCAATAGACCAGATCGTTACACGTAAACAAATACACAGCTAGATAATTAATTTCTTATTTGGCAAGCACAGAAGATGGTTCTTATTTTTAGTAATTGTAGAGGACAAGCAACTAACTTTGGCCCTCAAATTTAGAACTGGAGAAGAGGTAGGTGGTTTTTGTTTGATTTATTTGGCTCGTTGATTAGTGATGGTGGGTTGGGTTTCTTTGTCTTTGTTTAGTGGCTGACATTTATAAACAACTGACCTGTATACAGATAGCAGTCTTTGTGACTCTCAGATAACAGCACCCATGCTCTGTATACTGTACATGAACTGCTTTAATTTCTTAAACTGCACTAGTCTGAAGATTGTGTCCTTTTTCTTTAGAAGTGCTTTCAGCTGTTTTCTTCAGTGTCCAACAGTTGCATATTCTCAGGGATATTACTTAGCCATGGCAAAATAAGAGTAATCACAGCCTTACCCTAGGAGAGTTAGACTGCTTTTCGAGAAATAAGTACAGCTGGGTATAGAACTCTGATACAGCTCATGACACAGACAAAAAGTCTGTCCAGAGCACATACTTGCTGAGACATGGTAAATCCCAAAGCAATCTGAAAAAAAAGTGCTATCTAGTGCTGTATAATGGCTGTCAGCATATTTTAGCAGAGATCATACCACATCTTTGTAATACAGTGCTGTTGGCATTAGAGCAGAGCTCCTAAATGATTTCAGTTGAGCTCTGCTTAGCACTGGGAGGCTTTTATTTATTTTATTTATTATGTATTTCTTTAAAACAAACTGTTTTGGAGCCCCCTCTGCTATTTTAAGACACCGCACTCAGTTGCATACTGAAGTTCTCTGACATTGCAATTGTAGAGTATGAATTGCATACTCAAGTGCTTTAGTTCAGTGTCTCATTGAAACATTTTGTCTTGATACTGTTGTAATATGGGTCTCCCATCAACAAATGCACTTAAAGTTAAGGACTGCATACCTTCACTGGCAAACCTTTCGTAAAGCATCATCAGGATTTAGGTTGCAGTTGTTTGCTTTAAAAATGTTTCACAGATTGAACATTGTCACTTGCTCGGCTGCCCACATAGAAGTATGCCCAAAATGTGCTCCAGTTGTTTGTGATGTGCTTTGGCAAAGAGACGTGGACCACTATAGAGAATGGTATTACCTGTGTGCTTATGCTGGAGCTTCTCACCATCTCTTTTTATCACTGATTCAGCTTTTGTGAACAGTTTTAAAGGCCCCTAAATTTTAGACACCAAAAAAGATCATTAGCACATTCCCACCTTGCTATCTTTCCTCTTCCCCACTTGTTTCCCACTCCTTCCTTTCCTCCCATTTGTCACCTTCTTTGCTGTCAGAGCTGTTGCTGTCCAAAGTATCTCCATAGCAGTGTGAAGTAGGAGGTTTTATAAGTCATTAAATGGGAAGCTTTGAAAAGCAGATCTGAATTCTGTGGCAAGGACAGAGTTGGATGGAGAATGTGCTGCTTTTCTTTGAAGCTTTGCCCTGGTTTGAGATACTCTGCTAGGACAACCATGCCAATTTCACTGATTAAATTTAAATCAGGACATTTCAAAATTGACAGCTCTACCTCTTAGCAGTGAAAGCATGGGGGTTTTGTATTTTTAATGGGCTTATTTCTCTTTTCTTTGCATGCATAGTACCAATAACAAAACAGAGAGGAGGGGGGAACTCATTACTGAATTCCTACCTTTTTGCTGCCTTCAGTAGCCTCTTGGTGAGCAAACCCTGCACACTTTGATGTCCTGCATGCTCTGGTATAATATCACTCGTGCAGTGGGGAGACCAGAGCACGCGCTCCACCTCTGAGCAAACCCATTCAGGAACTCATCCTACTCAGTTCACACAAGGATTTAAGTATTTGCTTTGAAGTTTGAGTACAGGCATATGTTTCACTGACGGACTTCTTACATTGGCATGCATTTCTCCAAAATGTGGCCTTTCCCTGGCATCTGTTAATATCCCTTTCTTGGTATAGTGTTCTGTGTGTGCACCCCCATACTCTGGATGTGCTAAAGACTTTTTTTAAACTTTGTATTGAGAAGGAATCAGGATATGGAAACAAGGAAGCTTCACGCTTGTTTATTGTGTGCTGCGGCATTTAGGGATCCCAAATATATTATTTGATTCCTTCATTTAAAGCCACCTTGCAAGTTGGTGATTTTTGTCTACTTGAAACAAAACAAACAAATTGCATTCTGGAATATGGTGACTGAACTGAAAGCCAAAGCAGCTTGCTTTTATGGTTTTCATTTCTATCTTCTTGCATTTTTCAATCCAGTTTTGGGCATTCATTTTATTAATGTCAGGCTGGGCTTACAGTGAGCCTTATTGAGATATAAGATGAAGAGAAGGTATATTGCCTCACACTTTAATTCTAAGGGCTTGTTCGTGCCCCAGAAATCACCTCCACCAGCATAAGCGTTGCACAAATTATGCTGTCTTAAGCAGTTCAATCTTGAAATACTTTGGAGTTTCCAGTCTGCATCATCTCTCACATGATACAGCATCTGTCTTTTTTTTTTTTGGGTATTGTTAAGACTTCTGCCAGACTTTTTATTATTTCATTGTAATAAACTTATTTTAAATAAGCATGTTTTAAAATCTCGCTTCTTCCTTGCATGGATTTGGTTTTTTATTACAACAGAGGGCCTAAAGTGCTCTTCAGGACTGCATCTGTTCTAGATACTGTGTGAACAGTCAAAAACAGTATGTTTCTGGTTCATAGAAACTGCCTGTATGTATCTTTGTATGAAGAATGTTAACACACATGGAGCCTGTTTTGATTACAAGAATAAAAGCTGCATCGGCAATATAGCTGTGGGTCCTTGGCTAATGTAAATAGCTGAAGGCTGGCACCATCAGAGGATATATATGTAACAACTAGAGGTAAGGATGACCTTCTGCCTGGACTTGAATCTGTTCTGTAGGAGTATCTCACGGTTTTCAAATTTCTGGAGTCATCTTGAGATAAGATGAAGACAAATGCCTTTTATGTATTGTATGTACAGATGTAACCTGTTTTTTTATTCCTTTTTCTCTCTCTGTATAAACAGAGAGGTCATGAGCAGAACTATTGCATATGTGTCACATCTGATTGTCTTTCCGTAGCCCAGTCTCTCCAGCAGCACTGCGCAGTGAGTGAATGGAAATCACATGCACAGAAAGCTCCCAGGCAAGCATTTCTCCTCAACTTCTTTCGGTTAAAATAAGTGAATCTGTTGCCATTGCAGGATCCCATATGAGCTGCAGAAAGAGCTCCAGCTAAAGCTTTGACAGAATTTGTCATGTTCGTGGGTAAAGGTCATAGGCTTTGACAGGAGGCCTGTTAAATTCCTGTCCTTACAGGAATCCAGATCTGTGACACCAAATAAGAAGTGGTGGTATGCTGAACATATTGGACTTGTAGGAACACACAGGTGCTGCTGCTTAAATAGGAAGCTTAAAGAGGACGTATTAAAGATTCAGCAGTGACCAGAAGATAGTGGAATAGCCTCCTACCATAGAGAAAGACACTAAAAAGCTATCTGAATTTGAGGAAAAAACAGCAATGGAAGATCACAGCACCGAAGTTTTGACCAGTGCTACCAGTGTGAAACTTTTACCAAATTGCTTTCCTTTGGAAACCCCACTGCAATGGAGAAGTGTGGGACTGACATGCAATCATGTTGGCAAGACAGAGCTGCTGAAATGCAGCATAGGGGTCTGTAACGCTGTGATACAATCAATCAGGATGGAGTACAGGTTTTCAATACAAGTTCATTGTGTTTGCACAAAGCTGTTCTCTTAAGCAGAGCCTCAAGGAGAAAAGTTTTATTCCAGACATTAGTGAAACAAACCCAGTGTGTGTCTGTCTGGAAGTTTAGTCAACAAAGTTATTGTGTATTTTTTCTTATATGTCAGTACATTGACCCAAATATATTTTGACAGGAGGCCTGTTAAATTCCTGTTCCTACAGGAATTTACAAACATTTTTTTACATTTTTTACATTTTGTATCATTAATTAACAAACATTTATTCCTTTTCTTTTTGGTCTAAAACAGATTTGAGTTTCTTGTGTGTTGTCAAGGGGGAAAAAAATCCATCAGCCTTAGAAAGCTTCCAGCTTTCCTTTTCTGTCCTTGGTGGAACAGTTGCAAGAGAAGAAGTGGATGCCCCATCCCTGAAGGCGCTCAAGGCCAGGTTGGATGGGGCCCTGGGAAGCCAGAGCTGGTGAGTGGCAGCCCTGCCCATGCAGGGGTCGGAACTGAGCAGGCTTTATTATCCCTTCCTACCCAAGCTATTCTATGGCAGTGCAGGCTCGACCCCTGACTTTGCACACTAAGGAAAAAGGCTTTTTCAAGTTTCATTGCATTTTTGCACCCCCTCTAACCTTCACCATCTACTAGCCCATATTTGCCGTTTCTGGTTTCAGTGTTTGGTAAAATTCTTCCAGAGATCATTCGCTATTTAACCACCACTAGAGCAAGGGGTGTCCATTGATGCCAGTGCTTTGCCTGCAGCCGGAGGAGCTGAAATTGGTGATCCTTGCATCCTTTCAGAGCCATCAGCCAAGAAGACATGGAGTCAAAAGAGTCATGGCCTGACTCCCAGCCAGGTCCCAAGCAGACTCTGTTGTCGCAGTGTGTGAGCATGGACTTTACTGCTTTCTGAAAGATAAATCATGCATGTTCCCGCAGCTATGCCTAAAAGAGACCCACTCACTGTTTTCTCAAACCCAAATAGGTCTGAGACTCAAAAACACATTTTGCATCAATTTGTCTCTGTACCAGGGCTCCTGCTCCAGTAATGGCTTTCTGCCAAAATAATTTCCAATTACTTTAGCATCTGTTTCCAGTGTTGGTATCGTCAGCTCATCTGTAGCCTCCAGAGACAGACGTGCCTCTCATAGTTTCCTATAGGTCACACTTTTCCACTTGCTTTCTTGCTTGGCAGCTGGTACCAGGCGCGAGGGAGCCCTGTGCCTTCAGCACCACCTGAAACTCGAACCTCAGCTCAGGGATTCAGTGCTGGCCAACACCCTGCATCCCACACTGTGCGATGAGTGCGTAGCCCAGAGCCACAGAACAGAAGGCTTTGTGTGGGCAACAAAACGTTCATGTGGGAAGATGGTAAGGGGCCTTGTCCCCTTCCTAGGGGACAGCTGAGTTTCCCAATCACCTACTGACTCCTGCCATTTCACTACTGATTTTCCTCAATTTAATTTAATGGCTAATCTTTTAAAGATTCATGTTCTCTCCCCTTAAATAGACATAATGCTGTTGATGTGTAAATAGCCACTGCTGGGTTTGCCCACTTCATGCTTTATTGGTCACCTTGGGCAGGAGTCTCCAAATGGCCCCACAGTGAAAGGTGGGGACAACCCTGGCCTGTTGTGAAGAATCTGGGACAGCCTCTTCTCAGCCAGCCAAAAAGCTTCTCCATCTGGTATGTTGTTTTCTTACACTAATCTTCTACTTGAAGCTGGCACATCCAAGCTACTGCTCCTTCTGAAATGTAGGCCCTCCTCTGAAAAAGTAATTAAATATAAACTTACATTTTCTTGAGCCTTTAGCATTAGGAAAACAAGTCATTTTTGTATATTCCCTGACCAGTTGGTGAGTGTGTCCTGCCCTAAGAGGCTTTTGCCTTGGAATTCAGTTTGTTGAAACCAAGGGACAGTCTGGTGAACTGCCACAGTTCACATCCCTACATAAATGTCACAAAGAGCTGATCATCTCCATAAATGAGAGCTGTTGGGCACATTGTCCTTCAGCCTCAGTGCCCACGTCCAGCTGAGCTGTAGGCGGTAGGAATGCCTTCCACTCCAAAGTGCTGATGTTACACATGGGCTCTTTGTAAGATAGAAATAACAATGTTTTCAGCCCTTGTGTGCCCATGCTCTGCAGCACAGGTTGCTCTGTTGTGAAACTTGAGCTTCAATGTCCCTCATAGTCTGTGTATGCCAGCAGCAGAACCACTGAAACCCACAATCTGACAAGGACCCTCTGTCAGCCACACATGACAATGCCAGGGCTGATTAAGAGTGCTGGAAGGATGGAGCTGTGACTTGATGCTTTTTAAGCTCCAAGACGTGGGTTGCAGGGGAGAGGGAAGCAGATACTAATGCGTAATGTGATTTCCAGAAGGACTGTGCTCCTGTAGTGCACTTTGGACTGGCTCCCCATCTCCAGGCTCATGACCCCCCACATGCACTGGACATTACCCATGAAGGAGCACGTGCTTTGTGCTCCCCATGCTCAGGATGACTTCAGTTCTCAGCACACACAGCCCCAGCTTGCACACAGCTAGGCATGTTCAAGCTGTGTTGTGAAAGCCAGATAAGCAAAATCAAGAAAATGCCAGAACTAAGGGTAGGATGATTTATTGACGTGATCTGTTAATACATGCAGTAGATAATTACACATATTTAATCACATAATAAGTGCAAGCTGGCTTTTTAGTGTACATTAAATACAGTGCATGATGTAAGTTCATACTAATTTTGAGTTCATCTATAGCTGCGCACTAATGATTAGAAACCTTTCCCACAGGCATTTGCTGCTACAAAAGGCCAAGGAACTGAAGTACCTCAATCAACTTTGGCATAATGCATTAAGAAACTCAGGGAAGGAGGGAATCATAGCATTCCAGGCACCATCCAGCTGATGAATTCTCAATTAATAATAGATACATCTGAATTAAGGAGGAAGGTTTATTTGCAGTCTTTTATAACATGAATACTTAACACCTCCTCAGATGTTTTTTATGATGCTTTACACATGATGATAATGGTAGTAAGAAACTTGTTCCATGACTTTTACTTTTTTTCCCTTACAACTTGCATTTCTTTTTGTTAAGATATTGAACTTTTTGTGCTGTATTAATACAGTCCTTTTGAAATCCACACTTCATTTTCTGACCAGGCTGATGCTGTACTTCTCTATGTGCAGCACACTACAATTTGATGTGTGATATCATGACTTGTTTTTCTTTTCCTGCCCTTGGTGCACTTTGGCTTTACAATGTCCTTTGGAGGTAGGAGCTTTTAAAAACAACAGGACTTAAAGCTGAAAGTGAAAGGCCACTGAGACTTCCAAATTTCTCAAAGACTCCAGCCTTCAGGGGCTGCAAGTAGAGATGGACTCCTTGGAGATAGTGCTGGATGCCACCAGCTGAAACCCATTCCTTTGCACCAGTGTGGGATGCTACAAGGCAGCTATCTTAGTGCACAGATTTCCAGAGCTTATGGCAAGTTCCTCGCCCCTTCGGTTCTTTGACCTTTTCTTAAGACCTCTGTTTAAATAAAAAATAATAAGGCAATGAGAAGAAAGGCTTTGAATTGTTGAAACAGGCTACAGCCGTTGGTGGTTGAGCTTCACAGCACAAGCAGCCCAGGCAAGCAATAGCCGTAAAATACATTAATTTTATTTTGCTTTTAACTGATGATTTCCAGTATCGCTTCAGACATGCAGAGCTAAAGTCTCCTATACAAGTGGTAGACATTGTATGTATTCTTGGTTGCTTTAATGCATTATCATCATAATATAATATCCACCCTTTATTCAACCTTTATGAAGTAACCAAATAAGTACAGCTGCTGTGGTGCTCCCATTGTGGCAAGCAACTCACACTTCAACCATTCAAGTACTGCATTTACAGCAAAGCAGCAAAGAGTGGCCTGTTTGAAAATCACACCTTGGTTTGAGCTCTTAGTCCTGCATTCCACACATCTTTGTACCATTTTCTTCTGTTATGAACTCTTTTGCATATACAGTATTTAATATGCTTCCCATATGAAATCTGTTCTTAAATGCGTGCTAATAAATAAGTAGATAATTACTGACTCCTATCAGAGCTAGCAGAATTGACCAAACATACTGAAAAACAGAGATATGTGTACATCATACAGCATGAATGAGCACCCACAAGCACACTAGGCCAGGATTGGTGTTACGGGGATGCGAAAGTGAGGAGGCACATCACAGGGTGCTCCAAACACAACAGCAGGAGACAAGAGCAGGCCAGAGGAGTCGGTACACAGGATGGGTACAGCCATCATGGAAGGATGGAGTCTGGGTAGATCATTAGAGAAGAACAAGGCCTTCCAGCACCAAGACCAAAGTGCAGGCCTGGTTGCATTGAAGTTCCAAGTGTGCAGCCTTGCTGACCCAGCACTTCTGCAGTCCTGTTGGGCTCACACAGAATGCAGCTGGCTTGGCAAAGGTGAAGAATCAAGTCAGCTCATCCTGCATCTTTGCTCTCAGCCTGATGTCCTCCTTGGAGCGAGAGCACCTTGGCTGCATCACCGTTTGGTTGTCCCCTATGGCCTTCATGGTGTGATAGCCAACCATTATCCTGGGTTTTCTGTGCCTCATCTGCTGATCTTTAAAGCATTTGCTGGAAGGCCCCTGCTCCTCTGAGCCACAAAGGTGTGCAGCTAACCACAATGCTGCTGAAGCCATCATCACACCCCCCTGGATACAACATGAAAGAAGTTCACATAGTAATAAAAGAGAAAGTCTCTATAAACACTGCGTCCAACACAAGCTTTGTGTTTATGCTGAAAAGGCTGAAAAACAAAAACCCTGAAGAACTTAATTTAGGCTGAACAGTGCTAAGCCGAGGTAATGTTGTCTTGTTACACAGTATTCCTGGTTAGTGGCATTTGGTTTCTTGTCGCATTTGTGATAGAGTAAGTCCCCACACACAGCCCACGAGTCTTACTGGCAAACACTGAGTTTATCTATTAAGACAGGATACAGTGGTCCTATTTTTTCAGAATCTGGCTTAATTAATTTTTAAAAAAAGAAAAAAGATAAACATCTCAAAACAGCCATCAGAAGCATGAAGTCTGTTTGTTTTCACAGAGATGGCTTTTTTCCTTTTTTCTTTTTCTTTTTTTCTTTTTTTTAATCCCAGACCTTCCTGGATAAATAATAGCATAGCACCTCGCACCCCATGACGTGTGGGATGCTGCCCTTCTCTGCTCCCCTCATGTGAAGTATCGGCACTGTGTCGAGTCAATGTAGCAGTAAGAAGTGCAACGCAGTTTTCCATAAGACCTAAAATAAAAGAGAATATCTCAGTTTCAAAAAGTGCTGTATCTCACATCACATGTTCTCTGTGTGCACCTCTCTGTAAGAACTCAAGAACATCAGAAAACACCAAGTGCAGTGACATATGGCAACAAAAAGATGAAGGCGATTTTCTGAGGTTCTCTGCTGTGTTCCCCCTTGTCACTATGAAGAAAGTCTTAATCACCAATTATTAGAATTAAAACAAACACTCATGCATGTAGGTGTAGGAAGCCTTCGGGGCTCACTTACGGGAAGAGCATAACTAAATATCTGAGAACCCAAGTTAAGTGTTTTTCCAGTTACTTCCAATGGCTCCAACAGGCATGACTGTGCCCATCCTTTAACTTATTTTTCATGCACTTGAAATAACAGTAGCAACAGATGCATACCTTTGAGCTAGAAGGAGGCCTTTGCAAAGGGCCTTTACAAAATAAGAGAAAATATTTTTTATTTTATCTTTCTCCTTGCTTACATTGAGCTTCCACGACTCTACCTACTGAGCATCCAACCAGTGACGTTAATGAAATAAAAAACATTTTGCTGAGTTTTTATTGTGTTACAGTTAGAAAGATTATCATAGTGAAAACTGGAAAAGAAATAAACAGAGAAGCAACACTCACCAATATCCAAAGATCTAGGTTCACAGAAAAGATTCCACAGAGGAGGGATCTCCAGAAAGAGATCCTTCCCGGGGGCAGTCAACCCTTAAATGGGGTCTAGGAGAGATGCAGCCAGGCTCCACCCCTTCTGATCACACAGCTGAATTGCCTTCACCTGTGCTCCCCTGGCTGACTCAGTGGTAATAACAACAAAGCAAGAATCCAAACAAAATGCAAAAAAATTGTATTACTGAGCTTTTCTTAGATTTAATTCTTTTCCCACCTGGTTCAATTCCCTAGACGAGTGCAAGTGAATAATATGGGAACTGTTCAATCATGGTGGAACCACTGATTGATCACCTGAGGCAAGCACTGAGTCAGCTATGGGAGCACAGGTGAAGGCAATTCCTAAAATGACTTGAACGCTGTATTTAGGAGACAAGTAACAGCATATACCATTTTATCCATTTAGATAACTGCCAAAAAAAATTTTGAAACTACCGCATTTATCTGTTTTTCTATCATAGGAGTGGCTGTCCTGATGGATTCTGAATTTTCATTTTATTCTAGCTCTGCACATGTGATAAATAGATTCATTTGGCTTTTTTCCAACATGTATAAAAATGCTGAGTGCAATTCAGATCCATGTTCCTCCTGTATAGTGCAGACAGGTAAGGTAACACATTCTGTGGTAGTAACTCATCCATCAGATAACCCACAAACTGTAGTAAAAGCACCAGTCCTTTGAAATGTGTCCTTGGATAAACCACTTTCTCAGAAACGGAACAAAAATTTGAAGAGAAAATTTATGACACCTGAGGAGGGACTTGGGGGCTGGAAAAAGTACAGATAATGGGAAAATCAGTTGCAGAAGAGGTGTTGGAGAAGAAGGTGAAGCTCCTGTTGCAGTGCCAAGCTCATGTATTCATCTCATTTTACTGATGAGTCACAGCTCTTTCTTTGATCGAGCAAATAACCTACAGACTGCAAACACAAAGGATCTGAATGGTTTTTCACTACTTGATTATATGTGGAAAATGAAATTTATAAAACTTTCTCAAGCTTCTGTGGGTCTCGTTTTGGCACCAAACTTCCTATTCTTAAGATGGAACAGCTTTCACAGGCGAGCAGCTCCACACTGTCTGCAGATGGGAGCTCTTTAAAATGTTCTGGGCTGCCAGGTTTACTAGTCTCAATTCTAGTAATCTCTTACACCAGGCATGCTCCAACAATTGCAGTGGAAGGATTAGCACAGCAATTGATTTACAAAGATGTCCTGTGATTTCTTATTCCTGTCAATTAGCACATTATTCTTCCATGAATGATGAGGGCTCTGCACATAATTTCATTTGCAAATTAAATGTTTCCTGTTATCGGGTAACAATACCTGACAGTTAAATAGAGGTGCTGCTGCTTGAGGCAAAATGCTCACCAGAGGAGGCTGCTTGAACAAAGGCAGAGGAGGCAAGTCAACAGTGCACAGATGTTTGAAATGGTGTTGCTAAGCAGATGTATGCCCCCTCTCCTGAGTGAATTTCCTGGTCTTTAGAAAGGCTGGTAGATGAATAGTTGATTCAGAAAAAAAAATACCTCTAAAGAACTCATTACAAGTACAGGAGGTTGTTTGGAGGCTGTGGTTTGGTTGGTTGGTTTTCTTTCCACCAACGTGATCATCTCTTCATCATGGTGTATCCTGCTCTTAGTATGTTAAGGGTGAGTATTAACGCAATAATAAAGATACCAAATAAATAAATCTTTGCAAACAATGGGTAAACATATATCTGTATGATCATTCACTTTGTAAGCATGTACTTATAACTGAGAAAATGAAATTTAGACTTAACATACAGAAATAAGGTGATATGGTCTTTCTCTCTCACTACCTGCTGTGGTCCCAGAGGAACAAGGTTTATGTGGGTAATCCTCTTCTCGTTTAATGCAGAAGGTGAAGAAGAAAATAACAAAAGGGAAGACAGTGCATACATACCCAGGGAGATATGTTTTACATGTCAGATATCCAAAATCCTTTCCATCACAGTCTTCCACTCCTTCGTGTCTGTAGCCATCTCCACAGTAAGCACGGCGGCATCCTAGTGAAAACATAGGAAATACCTTTTCACATTCCATACATAAAGGATTTTAGAGAGGCAAAGATTTAGAGTAAAGCATAAACCAAGACACTTTGGGGAGGGCCTGACTGGTACATAAGCTGCTGTAATTTGTGGGCTGTATTTTAATAATTGGAAAGTGCTTCTAAAAACAATGAGCTGATTTTACAATTGAGTCCACTTACCATTTTGTTAACCTCTTTTGATATAGTTACGAGATCGGAATGATGATGATGTGCTGATATTCAAGTAATTTTGACACTTAAGTAACATGGTATAGTAATGTGACTCAGTAGGTCAAGTTGATGATTGGACTCGGAGATCTTGAAGGCCTTTTCCAATCTTGATAATCCTATGACTTTATAATTCAATTAAAACTTTCCAGGTCACATCAGTGTCAGAGGTTTGTGTACTACCAGGCCGCTATGGACTCTGCCCAGTGCATAGCACACAGCAACATGACGGGCTTCCAGATGCACAATGTACAATTTCACAGGCACTAGAGCTAATGAGCACTATTTGTCCTGCATGTTTGTTCCCTGTGGCAGACTGCAAATTCTAATTAAATCATTTTCTCATTCTTGGAGCCTGGAAAACTCAGTCTCACTGGATTGCTCTGTAGGCAGGCAAGCTTGGAGGGGCATTTATACATCTGCATTCTGGGGAAGGAGCCAAGCAGTGAAAGCAAGGGTGGATGTAAAGGCTGTGATAGCTCTTTGTATGCCAAGCTTACATTCTGCACTCCTTGCCTTTGCTGTCCAGAGCCAGGGAAGCACGAAGATCAGCTAGACAGGACATGCTTATTCAAAGGGTTTTGTGTATGTTGCAAAGGTACCACATCTTGTGGTCAAAAAGACACCTGTCCCATAGAAGGTCTGTGTATAAATAAATGGCTGGATCCAGTCCCTGGAATGCAGGAGCTTTGCTCCGGTGCCAAATACCTCTGTAGTCAGGGACATGGTTCTCAATGAGGATACATGGGAAACATTTGGCATCACCTCTGACTTCTGCCTGTGTGTGGCATTCACGTGCATGAAAGATCTTGATTTTGGTGTTGTGGCCATTGTGCATGTTATTCCACTGAATATTCCAGAAACAACTACTGCACCTTCCAGAAAGAGGCTGCTTCTGACTTACTTATGCAGTCATCCGTCACAACCGTGTTGCCATCGTCACACTCTTCCCCATCCTGAACAATCCCATCTCCACACGTACTGCCAACCTCAACACGGTAATCCACAGGGTAGAAAGGGGTGAGCTGGACAAAAAAAACCACACTGAGATTACTGTGTAGGAATACCAGCAGTAGGGCTCAACAAATAGAGGTGATGGACTGTGGAAGGTGGGTACCACAGACATGTTTCCATATCCCACTATGTAATGGGAAACAGGCTTTGTACAGAGTCTGATTCAAAGCCCAGTGGAAAAAATAAGGATCCTGTCGCTGATTTCAGTAGTACTTAGCTCCTTGAAGCAGTAAGAAAATGACTTTGATTTGCAGAGTTTGTGTCTTCCCGCAACTCTTATCCCTGCTGAGTTTTGCCTTATTTTGTGTTAAATCAAAACTGTTTCTATTATAATTACCCAAACTCAGTCCCAGCTGGCTGGTTCAGCAGCTGGTTCAGAGAGAGGTCAGCAAAACCTATAGCAGTGGTAAGTAGTGAAGACTCCTGTGAACAAAACCCACAGAATTAGATGCAGTGTCAATAATGCTGAAAAATAAGATTTTTCTTCATTCACTTGAGTGATTCTGTATGATAATATACCTGCTGTATTTAAAAATGAAATATACACTCACAAGTTTTCTGAAAGCACAGTCATATTTTCACCTGGACTGGGAGCCATCCAAAGGTATCCTTGAAATACAAAGATCTCTGGTCTCTTCTAAATGCTAAGGCATTTTCAGTGTGCAACCGGTCCAATTCTTCTTGATTATTCACCACAAAAATCTGGGGCACAGAAAAAGAGGTGATTGGTAACCCTCTTGAGAAGTGTTTTGAATTGTCACAGAATCCAGTTTTGTGGACAGAATTATTTATCTGCAAATATATGAAGAATTGCACAGAAAAAGAGTTTGCTTTCTGAAACAGAATGACATGCCAGCCCTGGGTGAGAATGTACATACATAAGTTGCTGCTTTGCAATTGGTAAGAGACACGAGTCTCCAAAAGCTCATGGTCTTTCCTGAGTACCCAACTAAGGCTCCAGTGACCCCCTACTCTTACACACCTGCAGATAATGACCATGCAAACACTTATCAAACAATGCGAACAGTCACTGCTGAGAACAATTTCAGATGTTCCAATAGTTAGATGCTGGCACAATTGCAAAATCCATGTGGGCATAAGTACTCTTTCTAGGATTGCGATAATTTTTAGGCATGTTTATGGCTATAAATAAAATAAAGCACTGCTTAGTGCAACCTTCACTTATCTTTTTCTACTTTGTACTTTGTTTAGACTTAATGAGCATTGAAATTTGTTTCTTTACACGCACATACTTCAGTCTAAACTCAAGTCTTCTGTTAAACAGAAAAATATTAGTAACAAATTGAGAGAATTAGGACAAGCTGCTCTTTTCCCAAATTGTTTTCATGTCTCATTTACCAAAATTTGCTGTAAGGGGCATTAAAAAATAACTTCTTCCCTTGGAAGCTTAATCAAACTTATTTTAGTAAGATTCAAACCATTTTTTAATTAAGAAAAAGCAAATTGAATGATTCAGAGCAAGTAAATTTGGGTCAAAGCCTGATTCCCACCAGCATAATCAGAATTGGCTCTTTTTAAAACAAATTACCCAGAAGTTCTTGCACAGCAGAATATTCCCATAGCCCGTGATAAAGGCCAATTGAATAAAAGTGCCTTCAGCTAGAATGAAAGAGAGCAAAGAAATAAAGAGCCAGCAAAGAACCAATTCTGTAGCTGTGTCCAGGAGCTGAAGTCCCAGCCTCAGAGCTGTAGTTTCTCTGGAAATCAATAACGGATTGTGCCCTCTGAAAATCTCTTATAGATATTGCCCTTTGAAAATACAAAGAATTAAAAAACCTGATTGATTCACAGCCAGTGACAGAAAAGCAGTGCTTTGTTTCCTACCCTCGCCCCAAGCAGTGTAGTACTGATGGGCAAGTGGGTGGCTGTGCTGGGGATGTGCAGAAGGATGGAAAACCTCTGCATCTTCCCACGTGCAGCTATAGCAACTCTGACTGTAGTCTTCAAGTGGCACAAGGAGTGTCTCACCTCACACTGAGCTGCTGCATGAGGATCTGATCAAAGTAAATAAGTGCAGTGTTAAGCTCGCTGCTGCTCAAGGGGGTGAAACAACTGGGGCAGGCAGTGCCAGAGACATGGCTTTTCTCTTTGCCATCCCTCAAGAGAAATGGCACTTGGTTATAACATGTGAGGGTTTATATAATGTGCATTACTTATATTCAAGGTAGCTATGCTCTCATTGCAATCTTTTAAGCTCTACTCTTAAACACTGCCTGGTGAAGAAGGAGGGCGGTAAGAACAACACATAACATTGTGAGCCTTATTCATTAGCCTAAGAGCTCCCCATGAACTATATCACTTTTTTTTTTTTTTTTTTTTTTTTTTTTTTTGCAATATTGCACGATGCACTATGCACCTTGATTTCATGCACTTTCTTCTACTGCCATTTTTTGCAGTGCAACAGGGACGAGCAAGCAGCTGACAAGACTTGCAGCACACTTATGCAGAAGATTGAGTTCAACGACTTGGTTAAAGGACCAGTGTATGGTGATCATGTCCCTTTCACACAGAAAGCTCTGAAAACATGAGGATGGGAAAGTTAACAGAGCTAATCACTGCACGTTCAGAGACAAGACAATGGGTGATAGCCACTTGCTTGAATGGCAGGGCTGTGCCTGTGCATAGCAGCAGCAGAAAGGTGGCATTTCATTGCTAATTAAGTGCTACAGTGCACAAAATAGAAAAATCAAGGCCTGGCTGAAGGAAAAGTCCAGAAACGCTATTTGCAAAGCCTAAAGATATCAGAGATGAAAAACTGCTAGGTCACTTTTTAACAGTGACTTATCCTTTATGTTACCTTCTCCAATTCGCTTGTAGAATTCCTTCAAGAATGCTAGCAACTGAAATTATCTCTGTAAGTGCGTGCCCATAGCCAGCACTCAGAAGTCTGACTCTCTTTTAGTTTCAAGCTGGAGGGTTTGTATTTTGGGGGAAAGTTCTGTTGTATATATGAAATGTTCAACCCTGAAATCACTGTCCGTGTAGAAGAAAATAGATAAATAAACAAGAAGAGATGCTTCCTTCACCAGCCAATCTGCAATATACTGCAATTGACTGAAATAAAAAGAACAGATTGTGTGTGCAGTAAGAAAAGAGCATCCTTATGCTAAGAGAAAGGTTTCTAAAAATGTGCTGCATTACTGATGGTTTGAAACTGCTGCATTTCAGCACCTTCATCACACAACTCTCAGACTGGTTGTAAAACCAAATTCTTGAGCACAGATTGATCTCAGAGGTTTCGGGTACAGGACCTAATGCATTGCCCAGATACAGCCATCTTCCTGTTACATCCAATGTAGTAGTTAATACAATGTTTCTTATAATAAAAGCATGTTAAGAACCATTCACATCCTCTCCCAGAAATTTGCTTACCGCAGGGACTTTTGGATACCTGTGTCCAAACACAGATTCCTCATATGGTGGATTATTCACGTGCTGTGGGGGTCTGCAGTGGCATCTTCCTGGAGGTCCTGGAAGTCCTCTTTCCCCTTTTGGTCCTATTGCAAATTGCCCTAGGAAGCAAAAAATCATGTTTCACTGTTACGAAATTAACAAACAAAACCCAAACACAGCCTTAGTGGGAAAAGCATGGTCAGGTGGATGTGTGTGTTCACATAAGTTTTGAGTTATCTACATCTCCCACAAACAACACCGAGAATGGAAGGAAGTGGTTTCCAGAATCACCAATTCCAGCACTTCAGAAGAAAGAACAGAAGTTGTGCCACAATCATCTTTCAAATCACACTTTAACCACTATTTTGGAGAAAGAGAATGGCCATTTGCTTAAGATTTCCAGACAAAACTCAGCCTGGTCAGAACAGCTTTGTGGTGAGTTTGGCAAGACTGATATTAAGTCAGTCACTGTAGATGTACACAACACACTGTGGACACTTCAGTAGTGTTGTTTTAAAGGTTTTTGTACAGGAACACCCAACAATAAACAAAGGAGTGCTACAAATAAATACATAAAAACCAACTGCTTTTTGACTTTCAAACTCTGGGAAGGATGTAGTGCTCTGCAGAATTAAATATGAGTCAACATGTTCATATTGCAAGCAGTGATATTATTACAGGAAGGTCATTTAGGACAAGAATTTATATTCTAGAGGGAAAAGACCAACAAGCCTGATACATAAACTTTCTGTGGATGCAATAAATCCTTTTAAAAGCAATTTCAAGATCCTGGCTGCTTTCCCATCAGCATGGTGAAAATTCTGTCCTCTGAAAACCTGCAGCTGAATTACTCAGGTTAAAGGTATTTTGTACTGAGAGACAAGAGATGTGTAGATGTTGAAGCTGCCTCAGCTTCAAAGATGTACCATTTCCATTAGTATCTTTTGGAAGAGAATTTCTGTCCAACAGTGTGAGCAAGAGAAGAAAAACGGAAAAGAGAATGGAAAGAGGACATCAAATTGCCAAGGTACAAACTCCTTTTGTCCATTTGTGACAACAGCTGTTTCCAGCTGAGCTTGCTTTTCTTTACCAATACTTGAGCATATATACAGGTTGGGAAAACCCTTCCATTTTCACTGAACATTATAGTTTGTGTACAATCCTTCATGTCTATTCTTGGTCTCACAAGAGAAAGCAAGCTGCTCAGAGTTTCTATGAACACAGTTTTGAAGTTGTACAATAATCAACTATGAGCTTTTCTTATGATACACAGAAATGAAGACAGCATACATCTACAGCACTTATTAAAAAGAGATATTTTTATCACCGTTTTTTCCTCTAACTCCTACTTCAGTCCTCTTGAGTCTCATCTACTTTCCTTGTACAGGGTAAATATCTGTTTTCCTTGTACAGAGCTGTACAGGGTAAATATGTCCTGGCTGATTAGAAATCTCAATTTTTCACTGTAAGCCAGGAATTCTAGAGAAGTAGCAGACCTTTGATGACAGAGATCAACTAGTCCCTTCAAGGCTGCCGGATAGCTTTTCATCATCCCCATCTGCCAAAATTCCACAAGAACCATATAGGCCATGTTTTTGGTTTTATTTGAGGCGTCAAAAGCCATAATGTAGGCATTAGAGTCAGATTTAAAGCCCTTAGAATGGATAGCGAAGGCATGATGTGCCTTGTAGAGAAAAACTGTCCTTATTGTTGATGGATCATTTTTTGTAAAGAGGCTTCATATGCACATGCATTGAGTTGGGGGGGGTGCTGGGGAGGATGGACACTGCATAAGATGTTCCCCACTTACCTAATCCTGAAGGTCCAGGGGGGCCTGGCTGGCCAGAAGGACCAGGCCTTCCAGGTGGGCCCATGATACCCACAGGTCCAATGTCTCCCTTTTGCCCCTAAGAAAGAGGAGACATTCATTTATTTCCTAAGTAATTAATGTCATGTAAGTTCTCCCAGCCTGCACTGGCTTCCCTTTCAAGAAAGCCAATACATCTGCCAATAGGAGCATACATCACAAACTTCACAGCCACCATTACAGAGAAGAGAGGTGCTATCCTCTTCTACTTGGGTCCATGCAGGACTAATCCTGAAAGTGAAAAGTACCAGCAGATTTGCTCTGTGTGGAGTCAGGGATGCCCTGATCTTACTTCAGTCATTCAAGGGCTTTCCTTCAAGGATGCCTTTTTATCCTTGCCATTCCCTAGGAGCCAGTGCAGCTCAGAGACAAAGGGCTGGTGGAACTGAAATCCTTGGTAATTGGCTCTGACTTCAGGGGCATAAGCTGAGTTTGTAGGGTAGACTAAGAAATTGATTCATTGCACCTTCAGAAAGAGAAAATTAAATAAGGAGTCCACAAGGGCTTCTACAGTGACATTTCCCAGTCTTAGGGCATAGATCTTCAGAAGAACAGTAATTATTTGGAGACCCACAGTATCTGCAGAAGTACTTTAGAACCTCAATTCATGTATCCCCTTGGCTGTCGCTGTGAATTTACCTTTGTTAACAAATCACTGCAGGGCAAGCAAGGGATTGGTTTTGCAAAGTGTAAGCTAGCATGCAGTGACTGCCCAGCTGTATGCTGACAAACGATGTTTCTCTGGAGCCTTATCACTCTGTCAAAATGCTGTAAAATTATCTATAGAAGACAAGTTTATAGAGTTACCATACAATAATATAATATTCTGTAAAATCCCTAATTTGCCTCAGGGGAACATGTTTGTGTAGCCATGCCATGAGGCATTTGAACGTTTTACCCTAGAACTATTCAACACCTTCCTATTTTTGCTTCTGAATTTAATATGGTGACAGTTATTAAAAATAACTATATTTATCTTCCTGCTCATATTCTCTCTGAGGCTTGCATTTCTCAGCTTTATATTTCAGAAGTGTGTTACATAGCTTAAAGCTGAGATAACTGATTTTATTCTTATGTAACAGCGTATCATTTAGTAAAACAAAAATGTGCTGTGTTATACTTCTTTCAATGACAGTGAGATTAATTCCTTCAATAAAGAGTGATTTTGGTTTAATGTTCATTCAAGGACAGATGATGGGCAGTTGTATAGCTAATTTCAGAGTCATGAAGCATACATAGTAATATATGCTAAAATAATTTGTTGTTATAGAATATCCCACATCCCATGAATACATCTGAATGTCACTTGCACCATTTCAACAGAGAAACGTTATTTCTTTTTTTTTATGACCCATAAAAAACTAATTGAATATTTGCTTTGTTTAATTCTATTAGACAAACTCTGTGCCATTAAAACATTCCAGGATTTACGTGAATGTCAGCAATGTTGATCACTAATTGCTTCTTACATCACGCAACAAGAATACACAAAACTGGCAGACCAAGACTTTGAAACCCTCAAAGAAATCATTGGGAAATCTTGTTCCCCACATTGTAAGAATCTAGCAGAGGAAATCCAGTGCAATTCTGACATACGCTGCCTGAAACTTAGCTGAACTCTGTGATTCCTGTTTTGGAGAAATGCCTGCTTAATACTCTCTTGTTTAGCATAGGTAGATTGAAGAACTTGTGCCCATACCATTCAGAAAAGCTGATATTTACAGTCCTCTCCCTTTTTTCCAAGTAATCTTGACTAAAAGTTTAAGTCATTCCTCCTTCACAAAGGAAATCCTAAACTTGCTTCTCAGGAGTCAACTCTCAAGTCACAGAGCTTTGAGTGTTATGAATTTTTGGGGGACAGTGAGGCTGTGGTGACTTGAGGCTCCCAACTCCTGGCCACCATTTAGGAAGAACTTGCCCCAGAGGCACAGCAGAATTGAAGAAGCGAATGGGATCTTCAAGACGTATCTCAAAATGGAAGTGGAAATGACACCTTCTTAATTTAGCTGTTTTTATCTGGAGATGTCAGCTGGATCAAGAGACAGGAAATGGCTCCATGTTGATGGAAAACATCAGCTGAACAAACAGCCAGATAACTACAGCACTTAAAGGCAGCAGTCAGATCTACACAGCCTTAAAATGCCAACTGCAGTTTTGTGTTTTGTTTTTAAAAGGTTTTTTTTTGTTGGTTTTTTTTTGTTGTTTTTTGTTTTTTTTAAGAGGAGAATAGAAATAAATAGTTCATTAATTACAGAAGGAGAAGCCCTGTTTTTGTGCAGAAGATCAATGCTGAAATTGCTTTCAAGGTGACAGATAGGGGTTGTGTAACCAAGCCTCCATGAATCCCTACTTCAGGGCAAGACTACATTTCTTTCAGTCACACTGATTGCTGCCCTGAACCATGACATCCTATGTGACTGCTTTTTGATCCAGACATTGTGTAATGTGACAAAATGTCTAAGATCAAGTATAAAGTCCTTGTGGAAAAAAAGGGACACTGCACTGTTTTCCTGTTGATCTGCAGGCACTCTGTCTTTTTTTGCCTGATGCTACAGAACAATATTCTGTGCACATCCCTTTTGTGAGGAAGAGATGAGCACAGTTTACATTGCACAGACTTACACTGCACATATCTTCTTTATGTGATGACTTAGCACCCAACATCCAATTTTTATTTTTCCCCACATTGAGTTTTCTTTCTCTTCAGATATTAGCTGACAACATTAGACCAACAGCAAAGCAAGCTTGTGCCTCTGTCTGCAATGCTGGGCATAACCAGATTGCAAATAAAATGCTTTCAGCTGAGCCCGCTGACCACAGCATCTACGAGCTCCTGTATCTGAGCAGATACATGTTAAAAACAGCATCAATACAGCAGGAGTTTGTTCCCTGCCCTATCAGAGGAAAGAAAATAGACTCCGCAGATGGCAGTTCAGAGATGGCAATACTAAAGGAACTGCTCTCCTTGCATCAGGTTAGACTTTGTGTCTACTCTCCCCTTTCTTCCACACAATGTCATTGCCTCTAATAAATATACAAGGAAACATGAAATTGAAGAGGTTTATCCGGTGACTTGAATAGGTAGCTACCACTAACACTACCCTCTTGGAAAATGCAGTGTTGGAGAAGCCAACACACAATTCCCAATCCTTACAATTAATCTGAAAGTTTTAAAAAATCAGTTCAGCCAACACAATTATTTTGATCCCTGAATAAGGAGCATGTGCAATCATTTCATCTCTAAGCCACTTTCATACAATGCTCCTGCCCCTTAATGTCAGCACGTGTCTTCCTGAACAGACTCCTGGCATGCTGTACTACAGTGAGAAGTATCACATAAATATCCTAGTCTAACAATTAAATATTGTTCTAGTATTAACTGAGAGAAAAAGGGGTGCTGTAGTGCTTCGATTCTTTGCACTCTTTTGGGCATCTTCAAAGCCTCGCAGCTCTGCAAGATGTTGTGTGTCACCAGCACTAAGCCTGGCCAAAGCCTCATAGAACTAAATGGGATGCAATGGACAGAACAAATCCACTTTGTCCCACTCTCCAGTTATCAGATGGGATTCAGAGTGTAGCTCTGTGATTTTTAGGATTCAAAGGGTCTACTTTTTAGGTTCAAGGTATGCTCTGATTATATTCAATGAGCTAGTTATCAAACTAGGGAAAAAGTAACTTGAGCTGTGCTGCACAGCAAGGGATTTGAGCATGGAAGACAATACCTGGACATGTATGCGAGGTGCTACAGTCCTGCCAGTGGGACCAAGTGCAAGGCACCAGCAGAAAACAAACCACAGTCATACCCCACCGTCATACAAACACTGGGAAATGCAGGGAACTGAAGGGAAGACACCATGGGCCTACTTGTTTGCCTCGTTTTCCAGGTCTTCCTATAGGTCCTCTGTGTCCTGGTGCTCCAGATTGTCCTTTTGGGCCCATCTCTCCCTTGGTGGGTGAGGAGGGAAAGAAAAAGAACGTAAGTAGAGCACACTTGCCTTCTATGGCACAGCAGGTGGCTGATGTTTTTGTTCATGCAATTCTTGCAGATTATGTTGACATTGTAATTTTCTTGGAAATTCACAATATATTTTAAAACAAGAGTAAGGCCAAAAACATCTATTTTAATTTATCAAAATTTCCTTGAAAGATCCCTCTTTAAAGAGGAAGCTGAATGGAGGAGACCAGAAATATTCTAGAAGGGGGGTGAAGACTAGCAAAACTCTCCAACTCCTGGCAATATCATGTTTGCTGTTAAGATGCACATTTGGAATTGCAGGATTGGAAAAATAAGTGAAAAATAAAACCCAAACAAACAATTAGTCTGCTCATGAATATATACCAGGTGCCTGACTATGTTAAATAGAAAGAAGATTATGACTAAACCTATGTTCTGGGAAGAAAAAGAAAAAAAAGAGAAAAAACAAGCAGCTAAATCTTGGGTTTTCTCCTAAGGAAAAAAAAAAGAATTTGATCACATCTAAGAAGTGCTCATCATTGAGTCAAGCAAGACTTAGCCTTATGCTTTCCAGAATGTCTCTAAGGCCATTTACTGACTGTATGCCAGCAGTTATTGCAATTCCCCAATATATTGTGCCCACTTACTTTCTGTCCCAGCATTCCTGGGGAGCCTATTTCTCCCTGCAAAGTGAAAAGAGAAAAATCATCAAAATAATTGGAGTGATCTTTGACAAAGCAGCACCAATTTAGGCCCTTACGGAAAAATTAAAAGTGCCATGTAGTGGTATTAGTTAAAAAAAAACCAACAAACCTACAATGTGATTCATCAGTAGCAGTGACAGTAGAATTATTAGAATTGTTCTGGATTTACAAGATTTTTCTATAAAGGTCCTTATATAATAACACTGCTCCTTTGTTTGATCCTCCACAGCCTGCTGCTTCTTGGCCAAAACCATACCAGTTGTGCTTCTGTCTGCAGCCACTTGGACAGTGCCCACACTTTGTCTTTGGAAATGGCAATTCCCCATTTACATCAAAAGGAATTTGCTTTTCCTTTCTTTGTTAAAGACCTCCTAACCCACAAATCCTGCTTCCTTTTTTCCCCCCCTCTTTTCATTTTTCTTTTTCTCTTTTCTTTTTCTTTTCCTTCTTTTTCTCTTTTCTCTTTTTTCTTTTTCCTTACAGCAATATCATCTCACTAGCTAAAAACATTTTGTCAAGCCATCACTGTTCTGTTCTACACAAGTCAGGAGTGCCACTTACCTTGGGGCAGGTGGGGTACATGGACACAGAGGACCACACAGTGTGGGACCACTGCTTTCTTACCATCCCAGGAACATGAGACTGTGTCACCCCTCTTTTTTGCTATCAGAAATACCTCAGTGTTAATATGCTCATTCAGCTAAAACTCACAGCCATCTGGAAAAGTACCTGGTCTCCTTTGACTCCTTTGTCACCCCTGTCCCCTCTGGAACCCTGGAGAGAGATAACAGGGTAGCAACCGCATAATTATTATCATTTCATGAGGAAATAAAAAACATTTATCCTATGTGAGGCATTATCTGTCATGGTGCACAATACAGTAGTATCTTCAGGTGAGGGGCACAGTAGATACCCTAAAATGTTTCCTTACTACCTTCATTGACATTACAATAGAATTAAGAGTCAGGCTGGTAGCAAAAAGCACTTATTCTCCTCAGATAATTACTTTAAATACGGGCTTCCTTTGATGTAGTACTTGAGACTTAATTGTTTCCCGAATTATCTTCATTGAAATTCAGGCCCCACTGAATGACAAAAATAAGTCTCTGTGCCAAAGGAAATGTAGCCTAAATAAACCCAAATAACAATTAAGGATCATTATACCCATGCTAGAGATGGGGAAACTGTAGTGGGGTTTGCTGTAGTAACTTGTTCACAAGAAAACAGGGTGTAAGACTCATTTCTCACCCCAAGTCACAGACTGTACGCCTTCCTCAATGCATCTTTGCATTTCTTAATGAGACCTTCAGCCTTCACTCCATCAAAATTCGACTTTATTTTTAGTTACTGTTTTATACAACTGTTCCCAATTGCCAAATTACACGTTATTCTATTGTTACACTGACCTTTTCTCCTCTAGTTCCTGGAAAACCCTAAAGGGAATGACAGATATTTTAATGCTTCTCACTTTCAAGATTACCAAAGAAGCAAATTTATACCTTGCAGATTTAAAATGAAGAAAAGAAATGAAGCACAAGTAATTAATTGCATCTACTTATAACAGCAAAATAATATTTGTAGCTTATAGAAGTGCACTGAAAATAATTATGAAATAAGAATTAAAGGCAAGACAAATCAGCCCAAAAGCTATGGTGAAAAAGCCAGTTAAAGCCAGCCGATTCAATATTGCTTTTAAAACTAAAACAAGGGAAATCAAATGTAACTGAAAGTGAATGAAACTACAATTAATAATCTAAATTAATTTTAGAAATAATCTTCTTCTTTTCTTTCTCCCTGCAGAATGTCCTTAAATTACATTTAAACCCTCATCTGAGCGAAGATTACTATAAAGCTGAGTTTCCCTTTAAGAAAAATACAGCAAATTAGCTGTGTCCATCTGTTCTTTCCATTGCTACATCTGAATAATCTACATACATAATTTTTATCAAGTTCCTTAAAGCGTTGTGGCATAAATTTTGTTAAAGCAGAAGCCATGTTATAGAAAACGATGTGCAGATAACAGACCCTCCGGACCAAATTGAGCTTACTATCCAACTGTCAACACATACTCATAGCTTTAGTAGAAGATACAAACGTTCTCCAGTCTTCTGAGGTGGGTGAAAACCATTGCAGGTATGAGTTAATGGTGGAGGTATACTAAAGAACTGCAGTATTCCAATGGGATAGTTACATATTTGCTTTGCTTTTAAAATAAATTTTCGCATTATGCGATAACTTGCACCAAAGCATTTTTATGAAAAGCCAAAAATGCAGCCAAGCCCAACCAAAAAACACAGCCTTGCTTGAAGGAGAACTTGCATCTCTAGCTGTATTAGAAAAGCTATGTCTTGATAAATGATTTCCAGCAAATTTATGAGGGAAGCAGCTGTCAGCAGAGCGTTAGAAACCAATGTCTGAAAATGCAGCATTTGCTTAACAAACCTTGGAGCCCATTGGTCCTCTGGTACCTGGCAATCCCATCACACCCAAATCTCCCTTTTCACCCTAAGGAGGTCAATAAAGAGAGTTACTGATGGGGGCTCTCTGCTGAGGTCATAGCTGAATGTCTGATTGATAGTTCAGTGTTCTGGGTTTTGTGACAAATACAGGAGACAAGTTTGACCTTCTTGTAATGCTGGAGTCAGAGTTCCTTATTGCAATTGTATTCTATCTGTGACCTCACATATTTTCTTGTTCCCCTATTTACATTTTCTTGGGTGTGTAATTTGTGCTTCAGTTTTGGTAGATGCCATTAAGTGACGTGAAAGCAAATTAGCAGCAGAAGTACATCCTTTTTCTACATAAAGTTGCATTGTTTCTTCCAAACATTGCTTCTACTGAGTTGCAGAAAAGAAAGGTATTTTGTTGCATGCCTTTATGGCTCAAAGAGGCATGATTACTTTTATCATCATTCTGAGATATAATGGACTTTACTGTGGTTTAAATACAATAAATCATGTAAAGGCTTTACAATATCCTCTCTGGCTGCTGCCAGCTAATTATACCTAAGGGCAGACTCTGCAGACATGAAGCAGCCCTACCAGCAGAACTCCTCTCTTTCCCAGCACTAAAGAGGATTTTCATGTTGGCTGCTGCCTCAGCAGTTCAGAAAAGACCTGAAGAAACAAGGTAGAAGAAACACAGATTGGACAAGAGTGTGTCTGACAAAGAGGAAGTAGATCCAACCAAAGAAATAGAAGGCAGAGATGAGGACGTGGTTTAAAACAAACCAAAACAGTTTGCAGGGTATTTACAGCAAGAATAAAGTGCAATGAATGACTATAATGAAGATGGCAATCAGATTCTGGGAAGATGAGAGATCAGAGGAAGAAAAAGGGAAGAGAGATACAACCAAACCAAGTGAGCACAGACATCTTTGGCCTCTATTCTACTGGAGCCTTCAGGCAGGAAGTAGAAATTTATAAGGAACAGAAGAAATGAAATTAGGAACATATCCAGAGAACAGAATAGAGATGTTTCAGAAGAGACAATAAAAGCAGGAGAATGGACAATAAACATCAAATAATACACAATAGTCAACCTATAGGAATAAATATTACTCCTGAATGTGAAAAAAGCCTCTGGAAGTGCAATGAAAAAAGCTATAGCAAAGAGGTATTAAAAAAAAATTTAGACAGTCTTCAGAAATATAACTAGAGCTTATATTGAAAAAACAAAACAAACAAAAAGAAGGGCAAAATGAATGAGTTTTGACTGCTCCACTCTCAGGACTGTGTGGAAAATAAGTAGTAGCATCTTCCTTCTGCTCTCACTGCTCCCACTGCAGGAAATCTCAGCACAGTGCTTTTGGGAAGACACCATTCCCTGACTCTCAGTTCAAAGTGAACTTTGGCTCCTTTTTAGTACACTGACTGAAAAACACACAGTTGCTTGCCTACATTCCCACATACTATGCAGAACATGATGTTCCTCATCTAACACAACCATAAGGAGCTTGAGGGTCTGCTTCCCAGGCATGGCTTGAATTCAGAAGTAGTTTACTATTATTCTTGCAGCAGCAAAATGTATGGCAGCATGTCCTCTGAGATGGGGCAGCAGCTATGATGGAGTGAAAGAATAGTCAAAGATTCCCTTGAAAATGCAGTTTCAAAATAAGCATAATATACCATCATTTTGCCTGATACGTGCTGGATAGATAAAAGTAGGTTATCTATCTCAAGTGTCCCAGTAGAAACTTTGTGTTCAGTGGCTCCACTGTAGATCTGTATATCTGTGTTAGGTAAAACTCAGAGAAGGACTGTTCTGCAGCTTGGTTTATAACAAATGGAGTAATCACTCTGCACTAGTATAGTATGTCCTGCCATTTCTACTGCTATTAGCTAAGAAAACTCACTGGAATGAATGTCTGCTTGTATGGGAGTGAGGTCAAAGAACACACTATTAATCCACATGGTTTCTAATCCTTTTCCCTGAAAGTAGCCTGATATTTTCCCTTTATATTGTCAAAGTATATTCAAGCAAAGAGATCATCAAGAACAGTCATAAGAGACAATGGCCAGTTTTGAAACACTGATTCATGTGGTTGTGAAACAGCAGTGGTTATCAGTGAGTCTTCATTAGACTTGATTTTCAATTTACCTGTGACATGTTTTAAGAAGTGCTACATGGGGTTAGGCTGACAGTGCAGTGTAAGGTCTTTGCAGAGCAGTGTAAGAAATCAGGCAAGCACTGAGTGTCCTCGCACTGCTTCATCTCCTCAGTCTCCAGCAGACAGTGGTGTAGAGGCTTCCTAAGCAGCCCTTGTGTTCAGATCATGATGTTTAACAGATTATCCTGTATTAATTTTAGTCTTACCTTCAGCCCCACAGGTCCAGGCCATCCTATTGGTCCTGGCATCCCAGGGACACCCGGGGGACCTGGTCTACCCTTGAACGGAAAACATTGATTACAACAATTCATGTAACATCATTCCTATACAAAGGTCTCTGTTTCAGAAAGGAGATATGGAAGGGCATAGTATTTTCAGGAAAATATCTGCAAATGCTTCTTTACCTTTGCCATAAAAAAATACTGTTTTACATTCATAATACTGTTTGCATTACTACTGGAGGAAATGTGGACTCACAGAAGTATCAATTTGAATCAACTGATTCAAATAAGTAGATCAGCTACAGAGAAATCTACATGTAATCGAAATAACCACTGGAAAAAAAAAAAGTCAGTATCATTAACTTTGACCTTACTCTCATTTAAATCATACAATATAGAACAGAAAGACCTGCATCACAAAGACCTCCACACAAATGCATTTTATAGTAAGAACAGAACCAAACCTTTAGCTAAGATATTCCTCTTCTTATTCCTCCAATATTTTCATTCTGAGTGCTCATACTCACATACAATTGCTCTTTATCATCTACTACATGATTTGCAATAATTACATACAAGAAGTTATTTATCTCTTTTAACTACTGCCTGTAATTCACTGTTTGGCTAGCTCCTAAAATGCTGCAGATTAGTGCTATTCCACTGTTTATATCATTTGAAAATACAATCCCGGAAATTTGATCACAGCTTTGAAACTAACAGTGACCTCCCTTGAGCCAGGCAACTTTTAGCAGGAATTATACTGTTTTATTCTCCTTTGGGACCTACCAGTATTTGTCAGAAGTAGAAGTATACCAGAGTTTGAGGTTTGCACTCTCTTGTAACTTGATGGGTAACTCTCTCTGAGACATTAATTTTGATGATTTTTATATAGATAATACTTTTGCTTACTGTGGGATGTTTGAAATGTAGATAAATGTAAAAATCTCTTTGTTTGTATGTCTCATATTTATTAGAATCACTGATCAGTAGCTGCCTTTGCTTATTATTAGAACAGTATCTCTTTTCCTGGTTAGTGACTACCCCCTGCATATCTCTGATTTCATCCTGCATTTCTGTCTTCTTTTAAAATTAATTACATTAAATGGAAGCACTTTTAGTAACTGAGATAACATATTCTGTTTCATCACACGTAGAGGCACATATTTTTGACAATGTATCATGGCTCATATATCAACAAGCACAGGATTGTAGTCAGCATATTGCATTGGTGCCAAAGCTCTGGAAGTGTAATCATTAATGGCCATTCCTCCATAGGGGCTGTTGGGTCCCTCCCAGCTCTGCTTTCAAGCAGTAAAAAGTTTGATTTGGCTTTGTTGGTTTTGTTTATTTTTATCTTTTATGGTAGTCCTATACTCTGCTTCCCTTATCCACAGAGAAGTAGTTCAGGTAATTTCCCACTCTTTTAATTGTCTGGCTGGAGGTGGATGCTCTTATTAATGGAATTAACTGAAATAAACCAGCTGTGGCAGCTCTCCAGTGCTGCACCCAGAGCTCCCTGCCACCCCTTGGCTGTTGGAGCAACACAGGCAGCATGAAATTCAATAATAGCCAATTTATATTCAGTGTATGCCTGTATATGTCAAGTGTTGGGCTGGTGTCCGAGGCAGCACCTTCATCCATACCTTTCTTCCCGGCCTGCCAATCTCCCCCTGCCAGAGAAAGGAATGTGTTAGACATACCACATAGACCACAGAGGCTCTTTAGTCAATGCATTTATAAAGAACATTGGGAATACCTTTGCATTCAGAACTTTTTTTCCAGAAGTAAAACGAGAAGAGTTACTTTAACGAAAACTCCTGGACTTTTCCTGCACTCTCAGCCCTGAATCTACGGCCACTTCCTTATCAAGAAAAGCATGCAATTGTGCCCAGCTTCAGGTAGGCATCATCATGGTACAAATGCTTTGCAAGTCTGAAGCCATACATTAATATCTAAACTGCTTTTAACATGAGCTGGCCCACACAACCAATGCTGTGTGGGAGAGCTCTGTCCCTCATGTCCTCCCAGAGGAGGTGGTGTTTTAAATACAGGGATTAGTAAGAGCACTGACTTGGCACCCAAGCTTCTCTCTCACCCATAATGTAGAGCAGGTAGTTGTCATGAGAAGCCATAAAAAAATATTTTAAGATTGAAAATCAACATTGGAAGATAAAGCGTTAAATGATAGCTTCAAATCCATCCATAGATTTACATTCAAATAAAGCAAATCCCCACATGTATTTATGTCCCATCATAGACTAAACAGACATGAAAAAAAGTACATGCAACACCTTCTCTCCAATCTTTTCCCTTGACTTCTCAAAACCACACCAAACTTCATAACAACAGGCACTTACTTTCTCCCCTTTTGGTCCCATTATACCAGGAATTCCTTGTGGACCCTGGGGAGAGAAACAAATCATGTTATTGAGCTGTATCTGTGAGAAGGCACCGGGAGGTTGCCTTTCCTCAACCCACGGCCCAGTGGGTGTCAATGAGGAATGATGTAAACCCACAAAGTGAGGGTGTTGAATGTGCTATTTGAACACTCTCCAAATGCCAGGTCTGTGTCATTTTTGAAGGCAACCGGAGAGTTGCACTGACATGGGAAGTGCAGGGGCATCTCCTAGATAAAGAAAATAGGAAGAAAAAGGACCCAAGGCATAGGAAAGATCATAGACTCATAGAATATCCTTAGTTAGAGGAAACCCACGAGGAAAACTGAGTCCAACTCCTAGCTCTACACAGGACCATCCAAAAATTAGGTTCCATATGTGAAAGTTTTGACCTGATATTTCTTGAAATCCATCAGTGTGAGACCATTATCACTGCCCTGGTGCTCAGCCACCCTCTGGTGCACAACCTCTTTCTGATATCCAACCCTCCTGCTAAACAAATCCTAAATTTCTAGTTAAACAGGAAATTTAGCTTTAATTTTTTTTATTCTCTGCAGTCTCCTGCTGCTTAGTGTCCAGCCCAGATTTAAGCTGTTCAGGGGAAATACTTGTTTTCTGTGAGTGATTTAAAAAACCATGAATCTGCATTTCCCATGTAGTGTGAAGATGCCTTTCAAAGATAAACAGTAACTTTTTGAACATCTTTTCTTACTTCCCTGAAATTATAACAGAATGAAGAGATGTGACTTTGGGAAGCTGGACATAAATAATGGGCAAGGATGACATAATTTAAAACTCATGGTTAGAAAAGACAAAAAATGTCTTTGAAGTAAAGATTGACCGAGCCTCACACATCTGTTTAAGCCACAAAACATTAAGATATTTCTCTCTCTCATGTGAGGCGTATTCCCCTTTCAGAAGATTTCTTAATTCATGGAGACCTTGAATCCCAGCTCAGAAAAAATAAAAATAAAAAAAATCAGGAAAACAGCTTTGTTTCTAGAGTGCTTCAGTCAAGAGATCCCCTTTTGTTTCTGAATGACTAAGGGAAATCCCATGAGCCATCCTGAAAGGAGCATTATGTTCACCATACAAATTGCTCACTTCAGGTTTGGAGCCTGGCTGTCTTATACCATGCAAAACACAATGCAAACTGTACATGAGCAGCAGCAAACTGTATTCTCAAATGTAAATTACTCCAACTATTTTAGTTGGCAGAGTTATTTTAGGCTTTCAATAGTGTAAATCAGAATGTAGCTAATTATAGTCTGAAACAAATTTTATCTACTTTTTCTCATTTTATGCTAGGTTAAACATGGGAGGAATTACATGCAGAGTCACATCATTATAAATTTGTTTATAAAATAATTCTCCTTATTATGACAAATTCACACATTTATAGCAGAAAGCAATTCAAAATTAATTCTTAGATTATTTTCAGTAACAGCAGCATTTATTTTCCCATGACCACTGACATAAGTTTGTTGTCCAGAGGATTACTGGCTCTAATGTTGTCCTTCTAGAAAAAAAAATCATACTTAAAAATTCCAAAGCGATGTTAAACCTATCCTACTGTCTATGTTGTGATACAATCTGTTGGCCTACTCCATTTAAAAACATTCTTGGCGGGATTGCAGATAATTCAGTTGTGAGGTTAATCATCACTTGAATCTTGCAGAACAACAGAATGGATATTATGGTTCTCCCCATAATCAGAGATGGTATAAAGAGTTTTTTTTTTTTTTCAAAAAGATAATCTGGTGAAGACTGAAAAAACAACAGCTTCTTCCACATGTGTTGCAGCTCTAGATGGTGGCCAGACACACCACAGGGCTGCTCCACAACGCAGAGAAGACTTTTCTCAACACTGGGCAACACAAACATCAGTTTTACCATCACTTCTCCATGTCTCCTAATTTACATGCTAAATGACTTTCCCTTATGTTTTATTCTATATCGGATGGTACAGACTGGAATGAAAAAGCATGTGGGTGGCATTCTCCTCAATTTGGAGACTTTTACAGAAAACTCTCCTTTACACATGGAATATTTTCTCAGTAGATTTCTGAACTCCTGCCCTAACTGTACAAAATGTAGAAAATGAAAGAAGAGATCAAATGGGCTGCCCAGCAAGCCAGGGGCAGAGACACACTGGAAGACCCTACATCTCCTGAGCCCTTCCAAAAGCCCTTATTTGTCCCCAGCCTGCACCATATGTATTTTCCTTTTCAGGGAGGTACTCCACTAACCTTCAAGTTCATTGCATCTCAGTTCTGCAGGCTTTCTTCTCATGTAACAAGAGTCTAAAGCAAAAAAAACAACCAACCAAGAGCCTCAGAAGGAGGTGATAGCACCTTTGGGGTTTTTTAGGGTTGCTACCCACTGTAAAACTCCGTGAAAATGAAAGCTGAACTTGAAACTTGGAATATTCAGGGCAGGGATGAGAACACAAGGTAAAAAACCTACACGATTTATGCATTGTCATGTCAAAATGAAATTAAGCCAGAGCTTGATATGCTTATTAAGCTATAATAGGCATTTACAGAAAACGTTTAACAGCATTATAAGGACTTCGGAGCGAGTGAGAGAGTACTGTGGTTTGGTCACAAATGCATCACTCACCTGGGGGCCAGGAGGCCCTGCAGGGCAATGTGACTCGGGCAGAGAGAAGGCCTGTGTTGTCTGGAGCTCTTGACACAATTCCTTCATGTCCAGATCAAGCAGCCTCTACGTAAGATAAAACGTACGAGTGAGCACTTACAGAGAACATGGAAAAATACACAGCCACTACAGCCTGAAGAGCACTTATTCACTGCCTTAGGGAGAAGCCTGTGATTTGTCACGAGGTTATCTTCACGGATGCTTCAACATTATCACTTCAGCATGGTGTTCTGTCCCATGTTTCCTCCTCCTTTTCCAGGCGCGCGCCGCAGCTGGGCTATCGTGTCCCCCCTTAGCCAGCGTGGGACCCAGGGCTATTCTTAGCCTTGACCCTGCTCCTTCCATCACGCTTCACAAGTGGCAACTCCTCTCCAAAAATAGCAGCTTTGCTCTAATAATACAGGCTGCACTCAGCGGGGATATGGGCAGTGTGAACTTCGCTCCAGTAGGTATCAACTAGGCATACATTCACTGCTGACCAGAGGCAATTCCCTTAAAGACCAATGGATCTCTAATCATTTGACTTTAAAATTAGGCTTGCATGAGCAAACTGGTATGCTTATGTCCTATCAGAAAAGATATCTATCTCCCCTGGAAATAAAAACAAGCACTGAGGCAGAAACACTGGGTTAATAAAGTTGCTCTACGTCATCCAAGTGAAAAGCCATTTTCCGGAAAAATTCCAACCATAAATTTCAAAGCACAGAGTCCTCACTGAGAATTCACATAGCTCCCACTTTCCTAGTAACCACTTAATTTAAGTATTATTATTTTTTTTTATGGGGAGATGATGCCAGGAGTAATTTTACATTCAGATTACTTTCTGGAATATTTGGTTGTGGTCCCATACTCATCCTCACTGAGGGGCCTGAAACAATACACCATGTTTCCTAAGGGGATCTTTTCTCTGAGTCTTCTTCCCCGGGAAACCATGGCTCAGGCAGGAGAGGGCTAGGGATGGGCTAGGCAAGGGATAAGAAAGGGAGAGGCAATTAGGTTTTGGGTTAGGGGAATAATACACTGAGCTCAATCCCATTATCTTTGAAGACAACAGGGGATTTTATGCTGTATTTTTTCTTGGATTAGTTCTCATCAGAAATTTTTCTGATCACTACTTATATAGTGCTTGTGATAATTGCTATATTTGGATATGGTAAATGAAGAGTAGAATTAAGAAATAGGATTTACTAGTAGGTGGAAAAATTCATTATGTTGGGATGGAAAACATATTGGAGGTAACAGGCCTTGGAAATAAGTGCATGTGGTCAAACTGCTCTATCATATACCCACTGTATACCATGTGCTGTTTACGTTAACATGTGTGGATACATACATATCATATAAAGCAGGAATATCTATATGTGTGTGAGTGAAAAATCCACATCAGCTACTCAAACACACCCTTCATTTTTGCAAAATAGTGGGAATAGATTCCACAGAAGGATTTCAGGACCTTTATATAGCAAAGGCAAAAGTGATGCAAAATAGGACATCTGTAGCCAGATCCGTAGCTCTCATAGCCAGAGGTGTTTGCTGAGTGACACCATGAAGAAGTGCTCAGAAAGGATGTGTCAGTCTTTGTCAAAGATCAAAATTCATGTAAGAAGAAGAGGAAGGCCCCTCGGCCACACTTACAGAGCTCCAGTCGTGCCTGAAGCGCGGTGGTGGGAACATGGGCGGTGGCGGCGGGATGAGGAAGCAGCATGCTCTGTGGGTAGGCTGCTTCTTCTGTTCCAAACAAGGAAGATCTGTTCAATACAAACACTCATCCGTTGTCTTGAACACCACAAATATTTCTCAAAGAATAAGGTGAGATTCCATTGCACAGCACTTTTCTACATCCTGCGTACGCAGAAGCATCCAAGCAAAAATTTCAGATTCCATGCAGTCCCTCAAATTTACAATGTCCCTCATATTCTGAAGGCTATGCTGAGTCCCAAACTCTTAACGTGGCTATGAAATAGGTCGATTTTCATAGAATCACCAAGGTTTGAAAAGACCTCCAAGACCACCCAGTCCAACCATCCAGCTATCACCAGTATTTCCCACTTAACCACGTCCCTCAGTACAACATTTTTTTAAATACCTCTAGGGATGGTGCCTCCGCCACCTTCCTGGGCAGCCCATTCCAGCATCAAACCACTCCTTTGGAGAAGTTTTTCCTAACATCCAAACTGAATCTCCCCTGGCGCAACTTGAGGCCATTCCCTCTAGTCCTCTCACTAGTTACACAGGAGAAGAGGCCGACCCCCACCTCTCCACAAACTCCCTTCAGGCAGTTGTAGAGAGTGATGAGGTCTCCCTTGAGCTTCCTCTTCTCCAGACCAAACAATCCAATTCCCTCAGCCACTCCTCGTAAGAGCTGCACTCCAGATCCCTCACAGCTTCATTGCCTTTGTCTTGAACACACTCCAGGGCCTCTGGAGTATCACTACAAAAATATCTTTCTTGTAGTGAGGGGCCCAAAACTGAACACAGTATTCAAGGTGCAGCCTCGCTGAAAAATACCAGAGAGCCAATGTTAGGAAATGGGTTGAAATACCTATTTCTCTCTCTCACTCTCCCTCTTGTTGTTGTAAAAGTCTATCAGAAACAGCATCTTCTTGTTCCCATCAAATGCAGTAAATATTTATTTGTGCCTGTTGGCTTTTCCTCTGAACACTGGCAGCCAGAACGGGTGTCTGTGAAAGGAGGGGTGGCAGGGAGCCAGATACTGTAGGAAGAAAAGCCTATGGTAAAGTATCTGGTATTAATTGAAAATCTCCAAATTAAGTTTATAGGAAGATAAACTTGGCAAAATTGCTATATTTGTGTGCAAATTGGTTGCAGGCCAGTTTTTGTCACATCTTAGGGTAAGACAGATTTCTCTAAGGCACAGAGATAAGTCTAGGTTTTCAAATGTCTCAGAAAATGTATTACATCATGTTTCACTACCCAACATTCATGGGGACAGCATTTCCCCAGTCCTGATGCACAGAAAACAGCTGTCCAGATGAGTGTGCTTGTTAAGTCCTCAGAGTGGCTGCCCAAGCAGCAGCTCGGGTGCTCTCTCAGCTCATTCGGTGTCAGTAACAGACCCACTGGCTATGGCAGGAGTCACTTCAGGCATGTAGCCACTTGTACATAGAGGCCAGTTGCAGTTGGTTCCACTAATGCCGGGTTAAATCAGACCTTGCCTGTAGAGACAATCTATGCACAGGGTCCAAGGGAATGCATTTCATAAACTTCATTTCAGTTACCTTTCTTAACAAGAACATTTATCACAAAGTTCCATTTCTTTCCTTTCTCAAGAAAAAAATCACTGAAGATTGCTACTGGCACCAGACCAGAAGTGATTTATATTATGCAGGCTTTTTTCTCTAACAGAACTATTTGAGATGATACCTTTGAGAGGTGAGACAAAGGGTCCACAATAAAGACTCCTCCTGAACTTTTCCTCCCAAGTTTGAACTTAACAAAAAAAGCTTCAGTTCACACAGGCAATAAAATACAGAGATAAACAATACAGTCTGACCCTGACTTCAGTTACTGTTACACAGCTGTAACAAAGGTCTTGAATTTTAAGCCTACATACTTCTCTGGTTATCTTAATTTCGGGACTGTATTTGAACATGTTGCATTGGGACTAAAATGCATATTGTTAAAAAAACAATGTGCAGCTTGTAATCTAAAAAAGACATACAATTTGATTATGATATTATCTTAGGCTACATACCAATAACATGCTGTCTTTTAGTAATACATTATTCCATGGTCTAGATCAATTTCAGTAAGTTTATTATCATTCAACATGAATAAGAACACCAGAGCTGGTCTGACATGGCTTAATTGCTAAAAGATCGCTTACAGTCACTGCAGAAGAAGGTTTGCACTGCTGCAGTTGTAATACTACTTAAAAATAAAAATAATATAAAAAAAAGAAATTAGGAAATTAAATATTTCGTACTTTAAATATTTAGCAAGGATAAGATTAACTATAAATGTTTTAACTGTATACTTACCATGTCCTCATGAGTAAAGTCAAGATCTGGGTTATAAAATATTGGGATACTCCTTTTCTTGAAATCTAAGTTTGAAATTCTTTGGAACATTTTTTTTATGAAAACCATTAGAGCTAACAAAGTTGGCAGCAAAATAGCCATTGATTTCCTTGTTAGGCTAGCTGGCTGTAAGCAAATGCAATTTATATCGTTAGGCTCCAGGTCAGCTTTGTTTGCTAAATACAGCTTCATAACACTCTAGTCCCCATCAGTGGAAAAAATCTCAGCCCAAGAATAGGGCTGTCAGTTTTCTGTGAAATGCAAAGGCCCTGCCTACACAGGGGGTTTGTTTACACATCTTGTATAGAAACTGCCCTTCCAACATCTTTGATACCAAAGAAAGTATTCAATAAGAGAAGGAAGACAAAATGAAAAACTCCTTATTGAACTCATCTAAATGGCAGTTGGTTTCAGAGAGCATGACAATTAAAATAATCAGCTTTAAAATAGAAATTCTTAAGAATTTTCAAACTAAAATTATTTTTACTGTTCAAAAAGTATTCAAGAAAGTGACTACCTCAATTTATAGGTATAGGAGTAGTGGTTGCTTCAAGAAATAAGGTATTTTAGATAGGCTGTTGCATTGTCTCACTACATTCCTGCAGACTGTTTGCTTCTGGTGCTAGCTGGAAGTCAAAAGCTGTGATGTGAGATAGTCCAAGGCAGAGCCAGAGAAGAGATGGGCACTCCCCAGGCAGTGCCCTCCAGAGCAGGGCTCGTCCAAGGGCCATGAGCCCTCCTAGAGCTGATCCTAGAGCTAACCTAACATCGCAAACCCCTGTGGCAACTACAAAGGCAATAGAGAGAAGTGCTGCACCAGGTTCAGCATAGATTTACAGGATTCCATTGCATTAAACGGTATGTAAACTGGGAAAATGACCTCTGCGCTGCAAACACGAAGGTGTAGGCTAGCTGAATCAAGGACAATGGCAGGATAAAAGGGCATGGCATGAAAAAAATATTTAACATGTGTTTCCCTCCCTATTTGCAGCCACATTCATCTCACAGACCCTGACCAGAAGCTGAGCTGCTTTCCAAAGCTGTTTCCCCAGTAGCTGCACAGTGGCCAGCCAACCGGAGACCTCTGGCCACTGACACCCAGTCCCAAGTGCTTCCCCACTTGGATGGTGGTCAGAATTAATAATAATCGAGCTGGGCAGATGAGTTAGTTAATGCATGTGGGCTTGCCTGACTGAAACTGAGAGCTCATCTATTTTGCTGCTGTTCATTCAGGCTCCTCTCAACTGCCTTGCAAGGATAGCAGCTCGCCACAGGCAGCAGTCATCAGGTATTACCCTGTGTATCTATTGCAAGGTCACCACTTCTTCCCTTTGAAATCAGAAAACATTAAGAGCTGCCAAAGTGCTCATTCCCAGGGCAGGGAGCAGCATGAGGAGGCATGGGTGAAGGTGGGCAGGTAGATCTGGGATGCTCCAGACATGAGCTCATGTTTGGAGCTGGGTCAGACAGCTGGGCTCAGGAATGGTTACATCTCTCAGTGTCCTCATGAACATAAGCCTTATGGCCTAAATATACCCTTTCCTATGTATCAGGTGATGTAAATATAGCAATGAAATATAGCAAGTCTACAGCTTATGCACTGATATCTGTGCTGGGGAGGTACTGCAGGAGCTACAGGATGGAGCTATCTCCCCATCCCCTTTGATGAAACAATAAATACTCCAGCAACTGACAGAAATATGAAAATACTGTGTCAGAAATCCTAATCCCCAAGGTGGCTACCAGCTGTGGAAGAAGTCACACATATTTCACCAGCTGGCACACAGACTGAAGCTGTCATAATAAATAAATACATAGAGATGTTTAAAATGAGCTGGTGCTCAAAAGCTCTTGCAGATAGCATGGACCCTGGCATGCTGCCTAGTCAGTATTCACTCAGACAGTTTGGGTTTGCTTCTATTGACTTTCACTTGCTGAGGTCCAGGGTTCTAGACACAGCTCACAGATGCTGGCAGCTCTATATGCTTCTTTTCCATGCATGAGAATTTGAGGCACAGAGAAGTTAAGCAACACCTCCACAATCATGGATAACTTGATAACAGAACCAGAGAGTTTTGTCCTGTCAATTGCAATACTTCATCCCAATAATTTTATGAATCGATTATAAAACTCAATTTCTTGTCAACCTAGAATGATGTTACAAATACAGTTAGTATTAAAGAGCTTAGTACCACCCCTAGAAGAGCCTGAAGCCCTAAGTCTTCATGCAAGATGGCTGCTGGGTCAACCTCAAGGCTTCTGCCTGCTATTCACCGTCACACATTCCCACTTTATCTGTGAGATCAGTAGCACCAGAGCAGACACCAGTGCCATCCCTCTCCAACTGCAAGACTGCAGGGCTGGCCTGGATCAGAAGTGTGCTTGATTTTGATGTTGGTCCACTGTGCGCTCAGACAGTTCCAGACAATCCACCGGGGGACATGGATGTTGCTGTACACTCTGAAAGGCACCAGAGAAATGCTTTTAAACTCCTGTTAGAAACTTTGATACCATGGACTACATTAATGCCTTGTGACTGCCTCACAGCAACAGAATCACAGCCCAGCTGACTTTATTCCCTGGCCTTTCACAAAGAAATAGCTCTGATCAACTTGCTGTTGTAAAAAATCATGGCTTTGTAGGTTGGAGAGGCGAAGAGAGTCCACTGACACTTTTCCATAGGCAGAAAACCAAAACTGCAGCCCTGCCTTCTTTAAATGAAGCATCCCCATATATTTTCATGCAAGCCTGGTTACATGTATACTGGCAAAAATGAGTAACAGATGCTTTTCTCCTTCCACCCACTCTGTCAGTCCTCTTTTGCACTCTTCCTATACGCATCTTTTTCCTACATCCATCTTCTATTCCAAATCCTCTCTGCCCACTATAGTTGCCGGCATACAAAGAGTATTCCCCTGATACCCTTTTCATTAAATAGATGATTCCTTGGAGAAGAGAAGGGAAGAAGCACATTTAGGATAGTTTCTGTGAATTCCTATTGGCTTTTTCTCCCTCTCCTATTCCTGATCCTTCTCAAAGAATTCCTCTTGAGGGCTGAAAGGGCTTTTCCCATTTTCTTCTACCTCCTATGCTACAGCATGAAATAGGTTAGCAAAGCCTCCATGCTAAAAAATTGCAATGATCTATAAAACATTCAACACACTTTCCATTTTAGCCAGTACACTGTACATTTTCTTTCTTTGTACATGTCTCAGCCCTATAGTTTCCATGCTGCCCTGTATGCCCAGCATTGCCAGCCAAGACAGCACCATGCCAATTCCAGTGCTCACATCTGCCCCAGGTGGCAGAACATGTTCACCCCAAACAAGTCTGAGGTGCCCTCTCCAGGAGAACTTCTGTAGCCTGAAGCCAAACACCTGCTTCGCTTGTAACACAAGGCATGTCCCACAAAAATAAAATGGAACTGGCCACCAGCTTGTCCCATCTGCCAGTACTTTGGGAGTCCCGGTTTGGTATTTCAGGATGCTTATCAGCTTACCACTAGAAGCCAGCTGTGCTGACCTTTATATTAAACCAGGGTGAAATAGGAACGCCTGGTCCTTTGACCTGATCTTCTACATTTCCTGCACTAAATGAAGGTTCATGATACTCATCCTAAGCAGCAAATAGCTGAGCCCTATTTGCATTTTAGCCAATTTTGTTATTTTATTTTTTTACAATTTGTGTCTTTTCAGTCAGTAATCCAGATTCAAATAGGTTGTGACCAGTGAAACAGGGAGCTCCCTTCTTTTAGGAAAGCAGAGACAAAGGCAGAGAAGGTTTTAGGAATACTGCCAGTAACATTCAGTCCTGTTTCATTCCTTTAATCAACCATACTTTTTTTTATAAGGCTTTGTGTTGATATTGATCTCAGGAAAAAAAAAAAAAAATCAATCAAGTGATACATTTGTATGATACATAAAAGGAAGTTTGGGTCAGAAGAAGCACTGAGATACCGCTCTTCTCCAGCTCCTGGAGGTATGTCAAATACTTTCCGTCTCCATGCAAAGCCCAAGAAACCTGCAGCACGGATGAGCAGAAAAGAGGAAAAGGAAAGAGAGGATCACAGAGAATCATAGAATTGTTTGAGTCGGAAAGAACTTCTAAAGGTCATCTAGTCCAACTCTCTGAATCTGCGCAGTGCCCCATCCAGGCTGACCTGGAACGTCTCCAGGAATGGGGCTTCTACCAACTCTAGGGGCAACAACCTGTTCCAGTGCCTCACCATCCTCACTGTAAGAAACTTCTTCCTTCTATTCAATCTAAATCTCCATTCCTTTAGTTTGAAGCCATATCCCCTTGTCTTGTCACAACAGATCCTTCTTAAAGATCCTATCCTCTTCTTTCTTACAGCCCCCCTTTAGACACTGAGGGGCTTCTCTCATGTCTCCCTAGTGCCTTCTCTTCACCACAGCCACGTTGCACTATTAATCCCTACAGCACTTTCCTTGAGTTGATGCTTCAGCACCAGGAGAATCACTGTTTGGTGCTGACATTGCATTCAAAATACTTCTAGGAGAAACGATGCACTGTTGCTTGAGTCTGATGGGACTCTAACATGGAGCTGGCAGCAAAACAGAAAATGATGCAGATCGTTATTCTTTCCCTAATTATTCTACATATGTGCTTCTCCCTACCAGTTGTTTATCTCAGCTTTACAGTTAGCAGGTTGTGACATGTGAACACTTATATTTGTAACCTAACGCTACAGAAAGATGTGTGAGAACAGAAATAACAATAGTTCCAGCCCAGAGGTTTTCAGATACATTTGGAAAATACTTACCTGTAATCTTCCAATTGTAGGAAAGACAAAGAACATCTTTGCTGTCGATTGTGGTTCGTTGTAGAGTTTGCAAATATAGTGCTGAAATCTATTCTTTAAATGCAAAACTACATCCTGGTGCCAGATTCAAATAATTAAATCAGCTAACAGTCACAGAGTATTCGAAAAATCATTAAAATAACTGAGAATTTAAATGGAATTAATTCACTTTCTGTACACACTATGAGATTTCTACTAGAAAATAGAGAATTAACTGGAGAATTTAGCAAGCTGCGAGGAGCAGAGCCCAGCAGCAGCTCATACCAAGGGCTGCCCATATCATAAACTACTGCTGCCTGAAAGATAATTGGCCAGAAAACAAGCCTGTGAGCCCCAAGCATACTCTCTCTACTTTGACACTATACCACCCTGAGAATTACACCTTTACATGTGGCACTACTGCTCTAAAATATTCCTCCTTATCTGCAATTATTGTTATTCTATCTTGACTGGTGCAGATTTAAGGACTCAAAGAGTTTTTGTATCTCCCTGCTACACAGCTGGGTTGCTGATGAAATATGAAGGTACACTTTTTCCCAAAGAACCAGTGCCGACAACCCCAGGCTATGCATTTCCCTTTTAGTCCTTATTTCCTCTTCCACTACATTGCCACAAGATATATGAATTTTCCCCCTTGGAAGGGCCTATTCCCTAGGCTGTTTTTTTTTTTTTTTTTTTTTTAAGATGATAACAATTTATATGTAATCGCTGGGCACTGAAGTATGTTCCACAGGAGAAAAATCACTGCATAGGAAAGGCCAGGCCACACGAGCATTAGGGAGATGAACTCTGTGTTTGTCTGGCTGGACCCTACTAGTTTCAAGACAAGGTAAAGCCCTTCAAAAAAATTTTTGAGGTCTAACAACTTACATGTTATTACAAGGCCATTTCTTATCAGAGAAAATAAGTTTTGATGCTTTCTGTACCTCAGCATTAATTAATATGAACCTTATGGAGAAATCCTAGCCAACAAAATAGAGATGATAACAAATGAAAATGCTTTTTAGCATTGCAGAGAACTCAGCAGAAAAACATACCTGTTCCTAGAGGTTTGACAGATGGATTTAGTTGTTTTTTAAGGGATGCCTTTTTTCAAGCATTACGCTTCTCTAGATGTTATCTTAAAAGCTATCTGAAATGACTGTGGAAATCTAATGGCTGTGTTATTAAATGCTATAGGGCTTTTCCCCAGATGATGACTGCACTACCCTTGGCCCACAGAATCATATTATTCAAACATTTCTAAATGAATGATCTGTTCAAACCACTGGGGGTAAAATACAGTGTTAGTTCTGTGTATTTCAAAAGCTTTGCTTAAACAACCAAACAAACAACCAAACATAGGTGAAATCACTCATATCACTACTGCAATTTAGTCCAGAAATCTGTTGTCCTGCATAGGCTGTCCTGCTCATCACTGTTCTCTGTCAGAATCATAGAATCATCAAGGTTGGAACAGACCACTAAGATCACCCAGTCCAACCACCAACCCGTCCCTACCATGCCCACTAACCACGTCCCTCAGTGCCACAAATGCCTTGAGTATAAACCACTTGGCTGTGGTAACACAGAAACATGAGAGAGACGTAGAGAGAAAGATCATGCACATTTAACTCTATGTCTAAGTTGATTTTATGCACAGTTTTGGAATGTGCACCCTTTTGGAGGCTGTCTTAATGTCAGAAACATGGGAGGATCTGAAGGCAAAACTGATGCCTCCCTACAAGTCTCACATGAACCATCCCAAATTTGATGCAAAAGAAATCTAGGATTCTAGTTAGAGGCATCTTTCAGCTATAAATACTCTGCCACAACATGATGAGAATTCCTCCAAGCAGAGATGGGGCTGGAGTTCTTGTTCCCCTTCTCCTTCCTTTGCACAGAACGTGGGTAGAGGGGAGTCTTGCTAATCACACTGTAAAACCTGCTAAGTGGGATTTCCAGTGCCCTGGCTCAGCTGACAACTAATTTGCTTTGCCTTTGCCTAGCAGGGATTTTCCATGCAGTGGACACTTGTTTGCTATGTGAGCCATCCGAATATTTGTTAGTGTCATAGCCAGAGCCAGATGATGTTTATTCTGCTAACATCCAGTCGAGCTCCAGCAGCACTCATTGAGGTCAGGGCTTTATTTATAGAAGCAGATATACATTGAGATTCACTTTCTTTCCCTTGCTGTAATCCACCTAGGATCATCCAAAATAGAAAGAAACAGGCAGACGTGCAAGTAATACACTATTTGGGCCAGGTCCTCTGGCAGCACGCATTAGTGCAGCACCAAACCAGTGGGAGAAAAAGCATTTTATTGTGGCTGAGGCTCCTCTCTGTTATTTCTCACTGGGAAGGGAAGGGCATAAAACCAGAAATAATAAAGCAAAAGCCACCAAGCAAGAAATACGTCCCAGATCTGCAAGGGAATTTGTCACTCCTATGCTCTCAGTTGCTGGGAAGTGCAAGAAGCAGCGTGCAGGTCCGAAGGAGGCAAAGCAAAGAGACTAAAAGCGATTTACCTGCTGAGACTGAGAAGGCATTGTCAGCGTAGGGGCTCTGAGAGAAAGCCCAGCAGGAGAGAAGCTGCAGGTACAGTCCCCAGGTGGCCATGCTGAGGGTGGACATGCTGCCAGCCGCGGGCACGGCAAGCTGCGGGCTCTGCTCTGCCTCCTGCTCGCTTCCTCTTCCTCGCCGGCCGCGCGTCTGTGCGGCTGTGTGGCTGCGTGTGTGCACGGCTCTCGCCCGCTCCCTCTCTCGCCGTGCCTTCAGGAAGAAGGAATGCCAACCATTTCCCATTCACTCTTCTCCTTACACTAGGCACGGTTATATTTAACTCCCGCGCTGGATCAGTTGCCCCCATTGTGGATGTTAGCTGCTAAAACGGTGGCGGGGGGGATTCTGTTTGGGTCACAGAAGCAAAAAGGCACTTTGGTCGATAATAATAACGAGCTGGAAAGAGAGAGATTATCAGCTGGACTATAAACAGCATCTGCTGGTGCCGTTGACTAGACACCGACGTCAGGAGGGCTAAAATGCCTGAATGATCATCTTCTACAGGTCGCTAATTGCCTTAATGAGTGAGACGAACAGTGATGTGATGTGTTTATGGCTGGCAGTGCTTTGCAGTCGCGCACAGAGCTGAGCGATACCACTGAGGGTCTGCAGCCACAGAGCAGATCAGTATTTGGTGCTATAAGTGAAGATGCCGCATCCCTACTAGTGATGCATTGTACAACTGCAAGGAGTGCACTGACAGCATGCAACAGGTGAGAGAAACTATACAAATATCACTATGGATTGGCTATAGTCAGCTCTTTAGCAATGGCAGCACACTGGAGGCAAATAGAACTCACATTTTTGGAAAAGCAACCCGTGCCTTTGTCACCTGCACGACAGCCTGGGGCCTCTGTGCATTGCTCCAGCCAGCAAGGTTTTGCAAATAAGCTTCCACAATGAGAATAAGAGAATAAAAGGCTAGAAGATGCATGAACAATGGAAAAGAGTCCTTGAAATGCAAAAGATTCACCTCTGGAAATGTTTGACCAGCTCAACACTCATTCAAAGCAGTGACTAATTTCAAATCCCTCTGAAATCCTCTTGCAGTCTTGTAGAAACTGAAAACTTGGTAGAAGTTTGTAGTACAAAATACATTGCTTGAAAAGGAAATTAATGAATCCAATACCACCATGAAGCACCAAAATCAGACAGTAGGACACATACTTTTCCCTTCTTCCACCACCCTGTTATCAGCTTGTGTACTTCGGTCTCCGAACTAGAATGGAAATGCATGATCAGATAAAAAAAAATACGCAATGACATCTTACATAAAGAATAGTGCAAGGATTTCCATCACAAATTACATTCACCTTTGTGACACAAAATAAGGTAGGGACCAGGAAAATATCTTGCACTCACAAGGATGAGTGCTTTCCTGAAATGACCAGAAGCAATACAGAAAACCAGGGCTGAGCTCCAAAAGAAGTCAACTTTGCAGTCATTTTTTAATAGAAATGTTTGGTCCATCTGTTCTTCAGTAAAGAAACCTGATTGAAAATAGATGTTTTGTCAGCTTTCTTCTCTTTTTTTGACTTAACATCTCCACCACTCTAAAGCCTGAGCCTGCTTTACTCGAACCAACTCGGTCAATGCCTCGGTCAATTTCCTTCTGTAGGCACACACCTGAGGCAAACACTCCATCTTCCAAAAGAAAGCCTGAAAGGAGATGTTCAGATTTAGATTTTCCAAAAGAAAGCCTGAAAGGAGATGTTCAGATTTAGATTTGAAGAGATCTCTTTGTCGTGATGTAGCTGTAGTTCACCATAGTTTTTAGGGGAACTACCATGAGGTCATCAGAAAGGAGAGCCCTTGTTGCAATCATCAGGGGCAGGTGTTTGTTTTGGTTTTAAGACACCAGCCTTACCAGCTGAAATTGCTGGCAAAGCTGCTGAGAGTTTCAGTGGGAGAAGAATGAAGTCTATTAGAAATAAAGCAGAGAGCAGCTGTATGCTTTCTGATAGGACTTTGTGATAACTGGCAAGCCACAGTAGATGACAAAGGACACACACACAGAGGGCTGCTTCCTGGTCTCTGGGGCATCGGCTCATGTGACAGAGACGATCCCAAGGAGAAGTGCTACCACACAGCAATGTGTCTTACACAGTGTGAGAAGCTTGACAGAAGTACGTTTTTCAGCCCCTGAGCTATCTATGCTCTGTGAACCTGCTCAGCCAAGCAGTTCATGCCTCCAGTCATTCCCATGTGTTCATAAAGTCAATGGAAAGCTTCTGCTCCCTTCAGAGGGAGCTGCATGACATAGCGAAGGCTGCTGCTCTGAGAACAGAAGTCCTTGTCTCTATCATGCATATAGTATTAATAATGTTTTTATCTTTCTTCTATATTCACTGCAACTGCTATTAACACTGAAGGGAAGATCCACATTAACGTGATTAACGTGATTTAATGCTGAAGATTCTATAATTTTTTTTGAATAAAAAGAGTCTTTTTCTTTTTCATGAGATTATTCAGTTGCTAGGAACAAGAGGAGCGTGTACTACATGATTTGTACTTGTGTCTTACCAGAACTGTTGCTTTAATGCCAAGAGTGCTCATCAAATAGAACACTATGTTTTCAGTAGAACTTCTATTTCAGATGCTGTTAGCTTAAGAAACAAACACAGGACAGTACAGACACCATGTGCTTTTCAAGTCTTATGAGATACCACCATGGCCTAAAGTAAGAACAATGTTTGGAAAACTTGGCTTAAAAATCTTTCAACTGCGAGAATCCCAGAAACCAAAATCATCTCCAATCTGATATCCAAAGAAATGGAATGCCATAGTGTTATTACATGGAATCAACTGCAGTTTAAAAAGTCCTATTTTGAGTAGATGCCATAACAGCTAATAAAATGTCAAAAGCCAACTAGCATTTACATATATATTCACATTTAAAGCCTGACCACTTTACCTGTTGTTGCTTGATCTTTTCAGCCCAGAGATGAGCCCTTAGAAGCGGATGAAAGATCCTGCTGATCTACCATGTAAATAGAATTTACGAACCTCTCTCTTCTGTGCAAGAATTAATGAATACTTGTTAAAAAGAAGGCTGTTTCTCAGATCTATTCACTTTCTATTGGCAGATTCTTTATCAATAAAGAAAATGCAGGAGTTCAGACAAAATATCATTAAACTCAAGGTTCTGAATGAGCACAGTTCTATTGAAAGGGAAAAAGATAAATCACGGCTTTCCAGTTCAAAAGACTCAACACTCTTCTGCTGAGTGGGGCAAAGGTAAAACAGCAACCCAGTCTTAATCCAATAATTCAATGACATGATGTCTGCAAAGTAGAACAGAGGAATTCTGCTCATTCAATTAGCGTGGGAGATGGAAAAGATTGTTTATGATTATATTTTCCTTGTAAAACTTGTTAGTTATTTAGCAACAATAGTTTCTCACAATAAAAATATCTGCTCAAGTTCACACACCTGCATGGTTTATGCCTAATGTTTGGATTTAGTACTTGGACAGCGTAGCTAACATTTATCACGTTCTTGCCGATGAACTTAGATTTAATATGGAAGCCTGTACAGAAACAGACCCACAAAATGCAATGGAGAAAACTCACCATGCTGACTTCTCAGCTCCCCTGTGCCACCCACCCAGCCAGGTACCAGGGCCCTGTGCAGACATGAGGGTGAACCAGCACCCAGTCTTGAGGTGAGCCACTGCATGAGTGCATCCAATGGGCAGCACATTGATGCCTAGCAACTTCCTACAGCATTAAAGAGTTATGATTAAACATTAAGGGATAATGCCAAGTGTTTTCCATCAAAGCTATGAGAAGAACCCCACTGTGCCCTTGTAATCCCAGAAGGCACAGCAAAAGACAATTTTCAAACAATAATTCAGCTGCTGACTTTTATAACATGACTCCTCTTCCCCTTTTCTGTTTGTTTCATCTGCCTCTTAGACCTTGTTTTTCCAGCTGAAAGTCATTCAGCATTTGCTGTGAAATTGTATACAATTCTGTACAATAGCAAGGCTGTCTGAGGCAGAAACGTGTGCATACTTAATGTGGCATAGATGAAGAAAGACACAGCTACAATGCAAGCATGTGCTGTAAAAAAAAATACGCAGTCAAGAATCCCATGAAGTTGCTGAATGTGTCAATCAAACCTATGGAAAGCCTGATGACTCCATAAGATGTTTAGGTACAAGGTGGTTATTTGGTGCCTATATTGCACATTCAGTGTCTCACGGTCTACCTACTGCTCAGGAGCAGACTACTGTGCAGGACATGTACAATACCCAATGCTCCTTAGATGTGATGCACTCATCACACATGAAGAATCCAGAAGAGATGGAAATAGTTTTCAGAGTAATTTTTTTCATCTTTTTTCATTCAACTCTTCACTGTTTCTCTCTTCTATTCAGAAAGTAGAAGTCTCTGCCTGTGCTAGCCCTGCTGCTGGAGGCAGAGAACAGAAGTGTCTGGCAATAATTGGCTCTCGTGACTCCTACTTCAAGTCATTTACCATCCAGCCTGCCAAGAAGCCTGATGACTTGAAAAACATGATGCACCACTCTCTTTTTCCTCTTGCTTGATAAAAAAAAAAAAAAAAAAAGCCAATAAAAACAAAACAAAACAAACCACCACCATTACTTCTTTAGTACTCACTCTGTCTCAGTACTCTCCATTCTGGAGTGCTACACAGACGATGGCAACACAGCACTCTGCACCTGATTTCCACGCTGCACTGCAGACCATTACATCATTAAGATGTAGGCAAACATGCAGCTGAACACTGGAACATGTGCACCTTGGAAAATGGACCTTAATACTAGCTCCACAGCCTTCTGCAGGGGATCCCTACTGGAGATTCAGGAAAAGACTTGGTCATCAGTGTAGTAACCTCAAGAATCCAAGTGAAGTCAGTGAAGCTGCTCCTGAAATCAAGGACATGCCTGGGTGTCTTGCCAAATAAAAGCCTGAAAAAAAAACTTCATAGTATTTTAAAGACAAAGTATCTGAAGTCTTGTTTTCCAGTGGTTTGTTTTCTCCTCCTCTCATGGACTCCTCTGGACACTAAATACTGAGGGATCCATGCATTGCAGAACCCCAAACCAGAAGCAGAAGGCTGGCTAAAGCAGGAAGCACTAAGGCCTGAGAAGTTAATCACAGAATCATAGAATCACCAAGGTTGGAAAAGACCTCCAAGATCCTCTAGTCCAACTGTCCACTTACTACCAATATTTCCCCACTAAACCCTTAGTACAACACCTAAATGTTTCTTGAACACCTCCAGGGACAATGTCTCAACCACCTCTCTTATATTATAAAACTGAAACGGGGTAAACAGATCTCAGGAGAACAGCAGGAAAAAGCAGCAGGATGTGGTCAACCAGCTATGCTTTTTGTTTATTTTTAAACTCTAACCAAGATGCTATGCATAGCAGGCAGAATTCCCATGTAGTATAAAAGAGACTTCCCTGGCACAGTAATGGATGGGTAGCCAACATCCACAATTTAAATCTGCTGTTTCTATAAAGTGACCGCTGATTTCTAAGGCTGCTGGGTCAGAGAGCAGGTAGAGAAGCTTTGTGTTTTTATGATGCTTAACATTTTGAAGCCCAAGCAGCACACAAAGTGGTTGGGCACTGCACATTGCCCAGTCATTCTGGTACACCAGAGTTGTCCTCTTCCAAATGCAGGATGTTGCTGAGCCTAATCAAACCAGACAAATGCATTTTCCTAGCTCCCTTTGCAGAATTAGGGAGCTATTATTAAGGCTGTGCTGACATTTCCATTTTGAAGTCCTACATTTGAAGGTTCCATAATTTGTATCAAAGACATCCATGCCAAGAGGCAGTTTGGCATACAGGGATAAAAACTTTGAATAAAGTCAGCAGCATTTGAATAAATTCAGTAAAAAGGTCTCACTATTTCAACTACACAGAGTGAGGCCCAGCATTAGCTACTTACCTATGGTAGTTTAACATCTGTGTTAGGGCTGAAATGGTAGTTTTTACCAGTGTAATTTCTACTTCTTTTCTGAGCACCTGAATGATATCCCAGTGTTGCAGAGGAAGCAGCTAACGAGGCTTTCATACCTAAACCACAGCCATGCCTGCTTACTTCAAGGAGAATGTATTGCTTTGACTAAAACTCTAGACTTGATATATCAGCATCTCCCAGGGCGCACAGAACCTTAATGACAGGTGCTAAGGAGACAGACAGACGACAAATTTTTCAAGCACTTAAAAAAAAAAAAGTGCCAGCTTTTTTTTTTTTTTTAAATTAATACTTCTAATGTGCTGATTTCATTAGAGAGAGTCTTTTACCCAGACAGTGTGGAGCTCTGGCTTGGATGAGTGCCTGAGTGTATATTGGCAGTCATCACTGTAGGTGCAAGGTGTAGGGATGTGCAAACCCGAGCAGCCATCACATAGAGAGCAGGAGGGCCTCTCCACCTGACAACATATTTGGTTCTCAGGTAGGCTTGCAGGTTATGCTATGTCTCATGCTGCAACAGCTACCATCAGTCATTGCACAGAAATGCTCAAAAATAGTGACTGTTTTCTGGAAGCAAGAGAAAAAAATTGGTGTTGCTGTGTACGTTTGGGGTCTATAAAGGCTTACAGGAGCCTTCCACTATTTCCTCATTTGGTAGCATAAGAAACACTACATTCTACAGGCAAGTCTCCCATCAGCTAGATGCAAAGACGTTCCATTACTGACTTTCACATCTGTTGTTTTCTGTTTGCTAAGTCATTTAGTCAGCTCCAAAACACAGTAACCAAACTCTGTCTTCAAAAGTATCCCTTCATTGCATCCCATTTAGAATTTGACCCAGGATATTACACAACTACATAGATTGCTGGAGCTGACAACTCAAAAAAATCAAAGAAGTCTGAAATAAAATTATTCCATGCAACCTTTTCAGTAGTGTGTTTCCTGTAGTTTTCTGCCTTGAAAAGGTAGATGAAAACAAAAACTTTTTTTGGCCTATTAGCTCAAGTAAGCCAATTGTCATTCTATTAATTTCTCTTACTTATTTCTACACTATTGCAGGCAGGCTAGATATTCCTGGAAAGAACAGACACTGAAATCATTTCCATTTATATTAGCATGTGCCATAATTAGCAGGAAGGGTCTGCTTTACTGAGGGCCTCTTTAAACCTTAACCATCTGGTTTCCATCAATTCATTAAAAAAAACAGTATACATCTCCTTCAGAATTACTGTTTCTCACTCATTACAGTACCCAGTTGTAATTAAATAAGTCAATAGTCCCACTGCCAGTATGTTGTTACAGTGATCAGATCTGATACTTGTGTCCGATACTACAAGGTCATTAAGCACAGGGGTGCACAAAACACGCTTTTCTCTATTAACTGCAGCTATCAGGCTCTGTAAATAGCATAAAAGCTGCAATGGGGATTTTGATTCCTACATAAAACACCATGATTTGGTCAGGGCAGAAGTTACTCACGTTTAATAAGTCTTCCACTGGCTTACAGCCAGCATTTGCTGGTTTCTTGGGTACTGTAGCAGGCCTCAAGATTCACTGCAGCTTGTTTCAGGTGTATTTCGGATTTTGCATCAGTGTTTCAAAACAAATTACATACACATTTGATTCCTCACCAAGATGAATATGCGCTGTAAGGCTGTAATAGGTGAAGGCAAGCATTCATCACATGCCCAAATGTTCCCAAAGCAGAACACAACTCACTAGGGACTAAAATTCACGCAAAACAATTAGAAATTACTACAAACTAACCGTTAGCAAGCCGAGCATTCCAAGAGACTGCAGAAATACATACTCAACACATCACACTATCTTACGAGGAAATTCACTTATTCCCCATTTCCAGTGACCTGGCAATTCTTTTTTGGTTTTGTTTCGGCTGATTAACTGTGGTTCCACACTTAGATTACCTGTAATGCTTTTCTCGTACCTCCTGTACGTCACAGGTTTGTGAGGGGCTCCTTCAGTGCATGCTGCTATCTTCTCTTCACAGAGGACAAGTGCTGCGGGCCTGAACCACTGGGTTTCCTCCCCCATCTCAGCAGGTATACCAAAATTTCAAATGGTCTATATTTACCTGAAAGCCCAGAGAGGTACCTATTTAAACACTAGCCTAAACCTTCTGAGGAGGTTTTGCTCCCTTTAATAATATGGGGACCCTTCAAATATACCATCTTTCTGTCTCATCTCTGTCCTTCATACAGTTCCATCTGCCTAACATCCCCCTTAGATGCGGCTCCAAGGTGTAAAACACAGCATCAAGCAGGTATGCCATATAAACAAAGCAGTACAAATGTCACTTTTCTTGCAAAGAAATCACATTCCATCTCTACTGAAATGTAAAATACATATCCTTAGCTGTTACAACGTAGGAGTTTGTATTATATCATGGCAATAGTCTATTTAAAAACTATCAGAAATTGTGCCAATTCTTATGTGAGCTTTCAAAAGCTCACTGGCATCTAAACTGATATTATCACCTCTCCACAGTTTCTATTCTTTACTTTCCATTTTCCATCTGTCTTGAACTATTAAAATGAGCAGTGCATGCTATTGTGGCTATTCAACAAGATTTTCTACAAATCCAACTTAAACTGATTTCTAACAGCTGACATAAAAAGCTGCTGTAATTCAAGTGCTATCATTAGATCTATGACTGATTCTATCATTAAAGAAGAAACACCATGAAAATCACTTTTTATTGATTTAAAAAATATAAGAACCTCTGTATTTGCTTATCTAATACAAAAGACCTCCCTCTGATCAGTCCCAGTGTTATCTTTTACAGACATTCTGAATCACCATAATGCAGTGTGTTTAATTGCTGCAACATATTAAAATCAATTTGTGGAGAGCATGAAGGAAGAATGAAAGAAAATCTGTGACAAGATCCAATGTCATTCCACATTCCCTGCAGAAGGCCCCACAGAACAAAACTCTACTGTCTCATACTTATTCATGAGTTGCACCTACTCAATGGATTTTATCTTGTTGCAGTTCTTAGCCATCCTGTGGATATTACCTTCATAGACTCAAGTAGCCACGCGGCACTATAACACTATACATGCAGTGTGTTTGGTGATATCTCCAGTAATCTGCAGTGATCTTTGTCTTGTGAGAAGTGTGTGGAGATAATGCTGCTTAATAGTAATCTACAGCCTCCTGCGAGACCCAGACTCAAGTTTAAGAACTAAGGTTTGCTTTTTACAGCAAACCTAACTGTAGCCAAGGATCTCATGCCAGCCCAGTCCCTATCTTCATTCATCCAAATGTCTTTGGTTAAGCAACACTTAATGTTTGTGAAATAACTGAGAGTAAAGATACCAAAACCCAATCAGAACCAGAATTTTCTCTTATACACATATAACAACAAAGAACCTCCCAGTGCACTTAAGAACAAATAAAGTAACCTGCTTGGTAGCGTACTGCAGAAGTATAGTTGCTGTAGGTCACTGTGACAGAAGCACAGGGAAAAAGCTCCTTTTAAAGTGTGAGCTCTAGTTCAGGTTGCCAGATGCAACAACAGGTGAAGATGCAGTAGATATAGCCTCAAGTAGACC